AAGTAGTATCCAGATTAGCAGGAACGGCTGCGATAGGATCCATAGGAGGCACGGTGATATAATCTACATCATCATCTTTCATGAGGTAAGTTTGGGCTGTATCCTCGTTCTTAGAGGGAGAGGCCAGTTGTAATTCGTTTACCATCCAATATCTTATCTCAGCTTCTGAGAAAACAATACCATCATCCTCCTCTGATGGATGGTTGTATGTCGGAGTACTAGATCTGTAAGAAGATCTATGTGAGGACTGAGGAGAACGGACTGAAGAGTGGCTAGTGTATGTAGACCTTGGAGAAGACATCCTTCGCGGAGACTATGATCTACGTGAACGGTGATGGTTTCGCAGACGTTGTGGACTTCTCGAACGTTGAGGGCTACGCGGACGTCTTCTAGGCGATGTAGAACCACTTAGCCTTCGCGTCCTACGCGAATGTATGGATTCAGTGTCCGATCTGACATATGAGCGCTTGCTTCGCGGACTCCCTTCGTGCATGACAAGGTGCGTGCTCGGCGAAGCGCTCCTTCTCCGCGAAGCCTCTTGCAATAGGTGCGGCTCTAGCTCCTTCCCGGAGGCGGCCTGGGATACCTTATGCAAAGAGCTCACTCCGGGCAGGGTTGCCCTTCGCGGAGGCGCGTCTATGGGCTCAGAGGCCCTACGCGTTGAAGAGGGATGTCTCTCTGCAGAGGTGACGGGACCCTCAGATAAAATTTCTGGTGATAGAGTTGGCATCTCCTGTTGTGTGTTCATCTGCGCTGAGGTGAAAGTCGCAGAAACGGGCCGTTTCTTGTGACGAACTTCTGGAATGATAATAGGAATATCATCATCATATAATGCTAATTCTGTAACTGGTAAGATATCAGAGGCAAAATTATTAGATTTTGTTGACTTCCCTTTAGATGAAGGTGTAGATCTTGGTGTACGCAAAGTACGAGATGATATGGATGGTTTCCTCGACTTGGACTGAGAAGACGGCAGCTCTTGAGATGCAGGTCGCTTCTTGGATATAGCGGACTGCGTCCCACGCTTATCCTCCGAGGGAAACTCAGGCATGCCACCAGCCGGTGGCGTGTCCTCAATCAACAGTTGACATGAAACATTAATATGCGATCTATTAGCAATGTTTGAATTCTGTTTACGTGATTTATCTGCCTTCCGTCTGTAAACGGAACATAATATTTGTCAAAGGCAGAGATAGGTAAATTGATACAAAATTTACAACGAGAATCAAAGGAACATGGAGTAATGCAACTAGGGCATTTTAAATGTGGATCGGTATCAGAATAACGTAGTTTACATTCTGTGCAAATTTTAGCCTACTGAACAAACACGACGAATCGTGAATAAAACAGCAGAAACACAATTAATAATTAATGCAAATTGAATAATTATACTAGTACTACCTCTATACTAACGTATAAGAGGAACTTAACTAAATATAATTAAGGATATAGTGTGTTGGGAGACACAGGTGCTCTCACGTCCAGCTCACTGGGCGAAGAAGGAGAGAGTGAAGCACATGGGCTTGGGTGGCGCCCTCGTTCCCGCGCTTGGGGAAAGGGAGGTAACTCGTGGTGAGTACTAATGAGTGATTTCTTTTATTCAAGGGAACTTCAATTGGGAGATATACGTGTTCCACTAGGTTCGCCAGAAGAAGAAGACAAGCAAATAAGCATGAGTCAGGATAAGAAAAAATAAAAAAATTGTGGAATCTCTTATCAATAGGTCAATAAGGGACCGTTCATAATTTATGGCCAGGTGTGTGTGTGTGTGTGTGTGTGTGTGTGTGTGTGTGTGTGTGTGTGTGTGTGTGTGTGTGTGTGTGTGTGTGTGTGTGTGTGTGTGTGTGTGTGTGTGTGTGTGTGTGTGTGTGTGTGTGTGTGTGTGTGTGTGTGTGTGTGTGTGTGTGTGTGTGTGTGTGTGTGTGTGTGTGTGTGTGTGTGTGTGTGTGTGTGTGTGTGTGTGTGTGTGTGTGTGTGTGTGTGTGTGTGTGTGTGTGTGTGTGTGTGTGTGTGTGTGTGTGTGTGTGTGTGTGTGTGTGTGTGTGTGTGTGTGTGTGTGTGTGTGTGTGTGTGTGTGTGTGTGTGTGTGTGTGTGTGTGTGTGTGTGTGTGTGTGTGTGTGTGTGTGTGTGTGTGTGTGTGTGTGTGTGTGTGTGTGTGTGTGTGTGTGTGTGTGTGTGTGTGTGTGTGTGTGTGTGTGTGTGTGTGTGTGTGTGTGTGTGTGTGTGTGTGTGTGTGTGTGTGTGTGTGTGTGTGTGTGTGTGTGTGTGTGTGTGTGTGTGTGTGTGTGTGTGGTGATGATGTTTATGGAGAAGCATGTACAATGTGAATGACCCCCAAAAATGTATGTACAAGGTAAGTGACACCCCCTGCATGCCATGTACAAAATCAATGACCCCCCTCTCCCTTCCAATATTTTGTAAGCATAATGTTAAAATATTTGTATGTACAAAGTTGCTGACCCCCTAGAAACATGTACAAAATTGATACACCCCCTATCTCCCCAGAACAAAATGGGTGAAACCACACACACACACACACCCACACACCACACACACACACAAATAACAGATTCACTTTGAAGTTCTTTAAAAAGTAATCTAATTATATCTTGACATGTTGCATTGTTGTATGGTGTTTTTATCTTAGTGTTTACACATGTTTTTGACCATATATTGGACTCATGTATTTTACAATAGCTAGCCTTAATTGGACATCGGTGCCAACTTATTTAGGCAGCAAAATGTCCAAATCATAAATATGTAATATTGATTATATAATTGATATTTTATACTTACCCTGACTCATATGTTATTGCTTTATCTCCCTTTCTTCCTAGGCACAGTGGAAACCTCTGTCCTACTGTTTCCTAATGAACAGTTTAAAAATAGCTCACCCCAAATCAGCCTCTCCAGCTTCCCCCATGAACAACAGGCTGCAAGTCACTCTCTCCATTATAATGCCCAAGTTATCTTGACGAAAGCCAAATAGTGGAGAGTGGGACGGCTTGGAGGGCCCTTAGACTGGGAACACTCCTCAATCCTCTACTGCTGCCAAAGGTGGGGGACCACCTTCTTTCCCAAAAAAAGAAGTCAATCATAAGATTTTGCGGATTTTAAGACTCGCAAGGAATTAGATTCCCACTTATCTTGGGTCTTTCCATGTGTTAAGAATAGAGTGTAAACTGAATTGTATCATTCAAGCACTGCTTTATGTTGTAAAGCAGGGGAACATGGACGCTCTGTCGGTGGTTATGGAACAGTAACCTGACGTCTACGATTATGGTGAGTAGTTATCTCCCGCCTGGAACTGTCAACATAAGGATAGGTGCTGGGTATCTTCAGGCCCGAGTATGGATGACAATGCTGGGAAGTGGAACTGTCTAACAGTCTGCCCTGGGAGCTGGTTATTCCCAATGAAGTCCCATCTAAGTCCTAGATGGACTGCCGCATGATCACCTGTGTCAAATCTGGTTTGGCTAAAGTTAATGGCATTTAATTCAGGCATACTGGCGGCCGTGGCAAGTGCTAGGAGGAACAACATCTTTCGAGTGAGCAACTCAAAGTCGGCTTGATGCAGGGGTTCGTAGGCATCGCTCGTGAGGTGTTGAAGGACTATGTTTAAGTCCCATGCTGGTGCTTCAAACTTCTGCTGGTCTTCAAGTCTGAAGGATCTTAGCAGAGCGATGAGTTCTGAAGCTTTGGTAAGCTTCATTCCTGTATTCATCATGTGGACTGAACTGATAGCAATCAGGTACGTAGCCAGTGTTGAGCCTTTAAGGTGTCTGGAACTTCTCAGATGACATAAATATTCAGCCACTTGAGGATCACTTGATGATCAGAAAGCAGTTTGTCGGGCAAATATGGCTCATCGTAGAGCAGTTATCGTGCTATAGTGCAATCATTGTCTTGCTGTCTTTTATAATGCCGTCTGGCTTGCACTTCACTGCAGAGTGTAGTAAACCTGTTTAGGTTGATGCACCATTTCCTTTCCTTTCACAGACGATCTCTGTTTGTTCAGGGACGGCCCCGATTCTATACTACTAGATGTATTACAATGATGTTGATGAATCCCATGAAGATCATCATTCATCTCACTGTCGGAGCTATGTCTGTTGTTGAGCTTCCCCGAGAATTGTTGGCAAGTGATATGCAAAACAGGTCTGCGCATGGGCATTGTATTCTGTCGAAACATAGTCCAAACTTCGTACACACGACTCCTTCTTCTTCTTCTTTTTTACAAAAAGAAAAAAATTACAGTAAAACTGTATAGTAGTCAGCGTGGTCGTCTATTGAGTTCTCAAGAACTAATGGTGTACCTCCAGTCAACTCCCTGCAGAATGTATGACGTCATCGGTGTATGTTCAGGTTGACCTCTATGGTATCTGGTATACCTCTATGGTATGGCTGAATGAGTTTGCACGTATGATTTCCCCGTAATCTTCAAACACCACTTCAGATAATGCCAAGGGAGTTTCATAAGCAGATATACCCAGAAGAATGCTGTTAAGCAGGGATCTTCTGTTAACTGTTGCATAGAGATTCTGTATCTGCACACAGAACACATTTTCATATGTGAACACCGCTCTGACAAAGTCAGAAATTACGAATAAAATAGCCGCAGATTAACAAATATAACCCATGGTTATGAAGTTAAAAGGATATAAGATGTGTATACAAGCAAACATTTTGAAATACTGGCCGAAATAACAGAGCGGTAGCTTGTATAAGGACGAGAGGAAATCCATCCAACCGTCCGGAAGGGCGAAAATGGAGAGAGTGACAAGCAGCTGACTGTCACGTGGGTCCCTGGGGTTGACGCACAGAGAGGCCCAAATGGGGTGAGCTATTTTCGACTGTTCATTTTGGAACAACAGGACAGAGGTTTCCACTGTACCTCGGCAGAAAAGGGAGATTTAGCTGTAAAGTATGAGTCAGGATAAAGAAAAATAACAGCATTTCACCAGTGACTCAACCCTGTGTTTAGATAACTGGTACCGACCTTGACATATTCATGATGCTGCTGTTCGATGGTTTCGAGTTGCTTGGTGACATAGCAAGTGATGGATGTGCCACATGGCACTCCATCTATGGCTCCATGGCTGTTGGCATGTATGAGGAACAGCTCCTGGGACTTGTACTTGGTGGGCTCTACTGTCACCGTGAACTCTCCCAGCTCCTTCCCTGTGTCCGACACGGTCACCAGGTTATCGTCAAAAAGCAGGTACTGGAAATCTGTTTCCCCATCTCAACACAAAACACATCAGCCATATTAGCTTATTATACTCATGAAACATTAACTGAAAATATATTTCTAACTTTTACTTACAAACAGATGAGTCAAAATATTATTTTAATTGGATACATTTTTTATTTATACTCATCCTGCCTCAATATTATGGATGTCAACTTCATATTTATTGTATACACAACGTTTCTGGACTATTCCTTGACTCTTTGTCAGGGTTGATTGATTGATTCACCTGACAAAGGGGCAAGGAATAGCCCAGAAACATGTATAAGAAGAAGTTGACATCCATAATATTTTGTCAACTTCTATATAGCGAGGATTGCACACAGTCATGAGGTTCTAGCCAGGACTGAGGACTGCACAAAGTCATGAGGCTATAGCGAGGACTGCACAAAGTCATGAGGCTATAGCCAGGATTGCACAAAGTCATGAGGCTATAGCGAGGACTACACAAAGTCATGAGGCTATAGCCAGGACTGAGGACTGCACAAAGTCATGAGGCTATAGCAAGGACTGCACAAAGTCATGAGGCTATAGCAAGGATTGCACAAAGTCATGAGGCTATAGCGAGGACTGCACAAAGTTATGAGGCTATAGCGAGGATTGCACACAGTCATGAGGCTATAGCGAGGATTGCACACAGTCATGAGGCAATAGAAAGGATTGCACAAAGTCATGAGGCTATAGCCAGGATTGCACAAAGTCATGAGGCTATAGCCAGGATTGCACAAAGTCATGAGGTTATAGCCAGGACTGAGGACTGCACAAAGTCATGAGGCTATAGCGAGGATTGCACACAGTCATGAGGCTATAGCCAGGATTGCACAAAGTCATGAGGCTATAGCTAGGATTGCACAAAGTCATGAGGCTATAGCCAGGATTGCACAAAGTCATGAGGCAATAGCCAGGATTGCACAAAGTCATGAGGCTATAGCCAGGATTGCACAAAGTCATGAGGCTATAGCCAGGATTGCACAAATTCATGAGGCTATAGCCAGGATTGCACAAAGTCATGAGGCTATAGCCAGGATTGCATAAAGTCATGAGGCTATAGCCAGGATTGCACAAAGTCATGAGGCTATAGCCAGGATTGCACAAAGTCATGAGGCTATAGCGAGGGCTGCACAAAGTCCTGAGGTTATAGCCAGGACTGAGGACTGCACAAAGTCATGAGGCTATAGCGAAGATTGCACAAAGTCAAGAGGCTATAGCCAGGATTGCACAAAGTCATGAGGCTATAGCCAGGACTGAGGACTGCACAAAGTCATGAGGTTATAGCCAGGACTGAGGACTGCACAAAGTCAAGATTGCACAAAGTCATGAGGCTAAAGCGAGGATTGCACAAAGTCATGAGGCTATAGTGAGGACTGCACAAAGTCATGAGGCTATAGCTAGGACTGCACAAAGTCATGAGGCTATAGTGAGGACTGCACAAAGTCATGAGGCTATAGCTAGGACTGCACAAAGTCATGAGGTTCTAGCCACGACTGAGGACTGCACAAAGTCATGAGGCTATAGCGAGGACTACACAAAGTCATGAGGCTATAGCCAGGACTGAGGACTGCACAAAGTCATGAGGCTATAGCAAGGACTGCACAAAGTCATGAGGCTATAGCAAGGATTGCACAAAGTCATGAGGCTATAGCGAGGACTGCACAAAGTTATGAGGCTATAGCGAGGATTGCACACAGTCATGAGGCTATAGCGAGGATTGCACACAGTCATGAGGCTATAGAAAGGATTGCACAAAGTCATGAGGCTATAGCCAGGATTGCACAAAGTCATGAGGCTATAGCCAGGATTGCACAAAGTCATGAGGTTATAGCCAGGACTGAGGACTGCACAAAGTCATGAGGCTATAGCGAGGATTGCACACAGTCATGAGGCTATAGCCAGGATTGCACAAAGTCATGAGGCTATAGCTAGGATTGCACAAAGTCATGAGGCTATAGCCAGGATTGCACAAAGTCATGAGGCAATAGCCAGGATTGCACAAAGTCATGAGGCTATAGCCAGGATTGCACAAAGTCATGAGGCTATAGCCAGGATTGCACAAATTCATGAGGCTATAGCCAGGATTGCACAAAGTCATGAGGCTATAGCGAGGACTACACAAAGTCATGAGGCTATAGCCAGGACTGAGGACTGCACAAAGTCATGAGGCTATAGCAAGGACTGCACAAAGTCATGAGGCTATAGCAAGGATTGCACAAAGTCATGAGGCTATAGCGAGGACTGCACAAAGTTATGAGGCTATAGCGAGGATTGCACACAGTCATGAGGCTATAGCGAGGATTGCACACAGTCATGAGGCAATAGAAAGGATTGCACAAAGTCATGAGGCTATAGCCAGGATTGCACAAAGTCATGAGGCTATAGCCAGGATTGCACAAAGTCATGAGGTTATAGCCAGGACTGAGGACTGCACAAAGTCATGAGGCTATAGCGAGGATTGCACACAGTCATGAGGCTATAGCCAGGATTGCACAAAGTCATGAGGCTATAGCTAGGATTGCACAAAGTCATGAGGCTATAGCCAGGATTGCACAAAGTCATGAGGCAATAGCCAGGATTGCACAAAGTCATGAGGCTATAGCCAGGATTGCACAAAGTCATGAGGCTATAGCCAGGATTGCACAAATTCATGAGGCTATAGCCAGGATTGCACAAAGTCATGAGGCTATAGCCAGGATTGCATAAAGTCATGAGGCTATAGCCAGGATTGCACAAAGTCATGAGGCTATAGCCAGGATTGCACAAAGTCATGAGGCTATAGCTTAGGCTGCACAAAGTCCTGAGGTTATAGCCAGGACTGAGGACTGCACAAAGTCATGAGGCTATAGCGAAGATTGCACAAAGTCAAGAGGCTATAGCCAGGATTGCACAAAGTCATGAGGCTATAGCCAGGACTGAGGACTGCACAAAGTCATGAGGTTATAGCCAGGACTGAGGACTGCACAAAGTCAAGATTGCACAAAGTCATGAGGCTAAAGCGAGGATTGCACAAAGTCATGAGGCTATAGTGAGGACTGCACAAAGTCATGAGGCTATAGCTAGGACTGCACAAAGTCATGAGGCTATAGTGAGGACTGCACAAAGTCATGAGGCTATAGCTAGGACTGCACAAAGTCATGAGGTTCTAGCCAGGACTGAGGACTGCACAAAGTCATGAGGCTATAGCGAGGACTACACAAAGTCATGAGGCTATAGCCAGGACTGAGGACTGCACAAAGTCATGAGGCTATAGCAAGGACTGCACAAAGTCATGAGGCTATAGCAAGGATTGCACAAAGTCATGAGGCTATAGCGAGGACTGCACAAAGTTATGAGGAGGCTATAGCGAGGATTGCACACAGTCATGAGGCTATAGCGAGGATTGCACACAGTCATGAGGCTATAGAAAGGATTGCACAAAGTCATGAGGCTATAGCCAGGATTGCACAAAGTCATGAGGCTATAGCCAGGATTGCACAAAGTCATGAGGTTATAGCCAGGACTGAGGACTGCACAAAGTCATGAGGCTATAGCCAGGATTGCACACAGTCATGAGGCTATAGCCAGGATTGCACAAAGTCATGAGGCTATAGCTAGGATTGCACAAAGTCATGAGGCTATAGCCAGGATTGCACAAAGTCATGAGGCAATAGCCAGGATTGCACAAAGTCATGAGGCTATAGCCAGGATTGCACAAAGTCATGAGGCTATAGCCAGGATTGCACAAATTCATGAGGCTATAGCCAGGATTGCACAAAGTCATGAGGCTATAGCCAGGATTGCATAAAGTCATGAGGCTATAGCCAGGATTGCACAAAGTCATGAGGCTATAGCCAGGATTGCACAAAGTCATGAGGCTATAACGAGGGCTGCACAAAGTCCTGAGGTTATAGCCAGGACTGAGGACTGCACAAAGTCATGAGGCTATAGCGAAGATTGCACAAAGTCAAGAGGCTATAGCCAGGATTGCACAAAGTCATGAGGCTATAGCCAGGACTGAGGACTGCACAAAGTCATGAGGTTATAGCCAGGACTGAGGACTGCACAAAGTCAAGATTGCACAAAGTCATGAGGCTAAAGCGAGGATTGCACAAAGTCATGAGGCTATAGCGAGGACTGCACAAAGTCATGAGGCTATAGCCAGGATTGCACAAAGTCATGAGGCTATAGCCAGGGCTGCACAAAGTCATGAGGCTATAGCCAGGACCTGGGACTGCACAAAGTCATGAGGCTATAGTGAGGACTGCACAAAGTCATGAGGCTATAGCGAGAACTGCACAAAGTCATGAGGCTATAGCCAGGATTGCACAAAGTCATGAGGCTATAGTGAGGACTGCACAAAGTCATGAGGCTATAGCTAGGACTGCACAAAGTCATGAGGCTATAGTGAGGACTGCACAAAGTCATGAGGCTATAGCTAGGACTGCACAAAGTCATGAGGCTATAGCCAGGACTGAGGGCTGCACAAAGTCATGAGGCTATAGCCAGGACTGAGGGCTGCACAAAGTCATGAGGCTATAGCCAGGACTGAGGGCTGCACAAAGTCATGAGGCTATAGCCAGGACTGAGGGCTGCACAAAGTCATGAGGCTATAGCCAGGACTGGGGGCTGCACAAAGTCATGAGGCTATAGCCAGGACTGCACAAAGTCATAAGGCTATAGCCAGGATTGCACAAAGTCATGAGGCTATAGCTAGGACTGCACAAAGTCATGAGGCTATAGAGAGGACTGCACAAAGTCATGAGGCTATAGCAAGGACCCAGGATTGCACAAAGTCATGAGGCTATAGCTAGGACTGCACAAAGTCATGAGGCTATAGCTAGGACTGCACAAAGTCATGAGGCTATAGGGATAGTCTGTGGTGGATTGTCTCAATGTTAGGTGGCTTCACATTTCCAGTGACAACGAAACATCATTTCAGCAATGTTGAGACATTATCACAACATATTTAAGTTGCCTATCACCCATACATATAGGTGGTGATAGAAATTAACTTTATTTTCAGACTGGCCGAAAGGGGCAGTAGACATACTTCTTGGCCCAAGCTGTTTTCTACTGGCCCGTTAAAAAAAAAAAACCCGATGTAGTAACAAACTCATCTTTATATTAACACCAGTCAACCAGAAGCTTTTACTGCCCAGAGACTGAGGTCATAGATGAAGCCTATATTTATCATGGAAAATATGAGCTTGTAAAATGTTATTACTACTATACTGAGTCAAAAAAGAAACTTCACATTCTTTCTTCAGGGCACTATAAAAGAACAAGAGATGGTAAGATGGTTAAATTGTTATTATTTCATTGCTAAGAGGTGTGATGTACTCGATACACTGACAGTGCCATAATCAGTTCCATTAGGCTACACTGCCGTTCCAAAACATGGGTATACAGAATGTCAAGTCACAAGAATAAAAATGCGAAATTTCTCAGTTCAATATCGTGTATGGCCGCCCCGCGCATTCACCACTGCCAAACACTGTCTCCTTGGGGATTCTGCGCCATTGCTCTTGCAAGGCAGCGCCAAGTTCCTGCAAATTCTGAGGTTGGTTCCTAAGACCACGAAGCCTTCTCCCAAGTGCATCCCAAACGTGCTCTATTGGATTAAGGTCAGGGGACCTCGATGGCCAGTCCATGACGTTGATTCCAGCGTTTTGAAGGAAATTTCCTGTCAACATCGCAGTATGCGGCCGAGCATTATCATGCTGGAACTGTAGACCTGGGCCATGAGCCGCCATGAAAGGAACGAGTTCAGGGGTGAGCACCTGGTCTCAGTAAGCAGCAGCTGTGAGGTTTCCACGGATGACCAGAAGTCGGGAACGGTTGCTCCCACAGAAAGCACCCCACACCATGGAACTTCCGCCCCCGAATCTGTCGACTTCCTGTACACAACATTGGGCATACCGTTCACGACGTCGTCTCCAGACTCTATGCCTGCCGTCGCGAATCTGAGGGTAAACCTGGATTCATCGCTAAAGACGACTCGATTCCAGTCTCTCTGGGTCCATCAGAGGTGACGTTGGGCCCACAGCAGACGAATGGTCTGTGAGGACAGTCGACCTCTAAACATCTCAGCTCTGGTTCGTGTAGCCGGCAGAAATCTGTCACGTAGGTGACGTAGGCCGATTTGACGGTCTTCTGCTCGTGACGTCACACGTGGACGACCCGACCTTGGGCGATTAGAAGTGGTGCCAGTTTGTTGTAGACGACCTCGCAAGTCATACACAGTACGACGGCTGCATCCCATTGCTCTTGCGATGTCAATAACTGATCTTCCCGCTTGCAACATGCCAACAGCAAATTCACATTGCACATTTGACAATCGTGGCATTTCAAGTACCGTTAGAACTGTGGTTTAAAAGTGTTTTTTCAATTCTTGAGGCCAATGCAAACACGTGCATATGAAGAAATCTTCGATGCGAAGACTTAAGCTGGTTTTATAGTGCTAGCCCACTGAGATACCATGCCGCAGTGAAGCATGAACACCCCACTCAGACACATTATACAGATCCGAGCCGACCAGTCCTTGTTGTACCCAGTAATGCCGAGAGCCAGGCAGGGACCAACAAGTACCATATTTTAACATCTTTTGGTATGACACGGTCGGGGATCGAACCTGCGGCCTTCCGCTCTCCGGGCGGACGCTCTAACCACTATGCCACGGAGGCGGTCTACACCAAGACAGGACAGATAGATACAGGTGAACCAGCTTCGGCACAGGTTCCACACTGCAGTGACCACTGCTCATACCATTACAGTACGTTGGTGTATGTGTCAGTCTGACTGTAACATATGCACCCCTAACACAATCAGGAACCGTTACTTCATTCTGGAAAATGACTATGTCATCCCGACACAACGTCGCAAAAACTCCAAAGGTGGTGCCAAAATCATGTCCCCGATATGCTCAATCCTGAGTCATGGAGAGTTATCGCTTCGGGGTTGCGTCTGTGATGATTTGGTGCTGTTCTGCTGTCTACTTCCAATCTTAATATCCACCTATTAAAGCTTACATGGAAATATTTCATTGTTGTTATATTTTCATTTTTAGAACGATTTTTAACAATGCAGTTTCTTTTTGTGGCTAGTATGGTTGACAAAACATGGCAGTGCTTGAAATTTAGGGGTCCTGTGACCTTTGCTCCTATACCCTGTAGTGTTTCAAATTTGTTTCAATCTAGGGATCATGTACACCTTTTCCCTTCAATATTTGGGCTGTGATACAACAGCTGTGAAACAACTGCTTTAGACCTACATTCAAAATCATAGAAAACTAGAAAGTTTTTTTACTCATAAAAAGACATTGCTCCACCCTCCCCTTTTTGATACATCAATACATGTTGTTGCTATCAACATATTTGCAAATCTGAAATCAATATCAGCCAATAAATGACAGTACAGTTTCTGATAGATTGTACTGTGAAGGTTCTTGTACCCATAATGGCCAGTCAGTAGCTTTACGCTTAGTAGAGACCCTTAAGAATTTCTACATTCTTTCCATGGAAACATAAAACATTAAAATAAATTATTTGTTTTTAAAATATGAAAAGGAAATAGTTAAACTTGCGGCCATTGCACATGTTTGTAACCTGGTACAGTAACCTGGTACTAAATCTTAACATTGTCAAATATGATGCAACATACCTATACTTTGCAGAAACTCAAGTCCATTAGCACTCGCCTTTGGGACCACTCCAGCATCAACTGAACCTGGAACCTCTGATGCCACACCATTGGGATTACTGCAACAGAGGTGAATGAACACAGTCACTGATATATCAGTCCAGAACTAGACACCAATATCACTTGAACATGTTGAATCATATACCTGTACCCTAATCCGTGAACACTGTTCAATCACGAACTTGAACAAAGACATAACACACATGGAGACTGTACATGGACATAACACACATGGAGACTGTACATGGACATAACACACATGGATATACACACATGGAACCTGTGCATGGAGACAGTACCTGGATACACACACATGGAACCTGTGCATGGAGACAGTACCTGGATACACACACATGGAACCTGTGCATGGAGACAGTACCTGGATACACACACATGGAACCTGTGCATGGACATGGAACCTGTGCATGGAGACAGTACCTGGATACACTGGATACACACACATGGATACACACACATGGATATAACACACATGGACATATACACATGGAACCTGTACATGGATATACACACATGGACAAAACACACATGGAACCTGTACATTGACATAACACACATGGAACCTGTACATGGACATAGCAAACATGAAGACTGTATTTCTACATAACACACATGGAGACCATACATGGACATAACACATAACAAGGGTCGTAGTAATCTGTTGACGAAAATGTTATCAGCTGCCCTCTGACACATCACACGCTCTCTCAAAATAATGCAAGAAAGACGATCACTGAAAACAAGAGAATACCAAATTTGCCCCAGTTCAGGTGACATTGGGGAAGTTGGCTTTTATCCTGTCTGGCTTGGATTTATTCCACTTTGCTATCACGGTTTAAATAACACCCAAATTCAAGTAAACCAATCCTTTAAAAATAATACCTGAATATTTCATTTCTGTGAAAAGAATTCATGAAAGTTTATGGTTTGATTCACTGAATAAGTGAATGAATTGTAACAAACCTAGAGATGATGAGGGTTAGGGTTAGGGTTTTTAGTATTCCAAGCATGTTATCCCACGTTATTTCTTAACATAATGATCATCATGGAAAGTTTTTATGAGAAAGTAATCATCTGACACAAGAGCGCAAATACCTACATACTATACTAATACTGTGTTTTGCTGGACATTTTCTTGATCTTATCAAATGTTGATATACTTTTCACCATATCAGAAAACTATATATAAGAAAAATGTTAAATCTACACCAAGTTTGGAGTTTTGAATGATAATAATATAGTGTCCAAGACATTAAATCTATCTGAAACCCTGTGACAGAGTGACAGTGTCACCGTCATCCATCTACCCTACCAATTACTTACATCAGCTTTGAGAAGAACCATATGTCAATCAAACGTCATTAAATATCATTCTGAGAAAAACAGTTACCTGTTGACTGTATCGGCGCTCATTGTTTACTTTAAAATGCAGGCAAAGCACGCTGACTAACGGCAATACACAAAAGAATCGTCACAAAATAAAAGAATATTTGACAGAACAACTTCACGTCAAAGCACTCAACATGGCGGTCGTCACTATGGAAATCTGAACTTCCGTCATTCAAAGGGAGGTAATCAGACTAAATAGTTGTTGGGGAACCGCTATAGAAAAGAACCTGCAGGATTTTGAAGGGATATTTTCTTTTTGAAACTGAAATTTGTTTAAACATCATCCCTTTATGAGAGAGAACATTTTGAAATATTGTTCACGTATTGTGATTGCAAACTGTGACATGCAGGTTTTAACACCTGCATAATACGAATACATAATGGAAGCGGTCAAAGGTAACACGTTATATTTGATCAATGGTAGTAAAAACTTTCTCGGTAAAGTTCCGATGGTAGGTACCGATGAGCCCCTAGCTCCCCAGAACAAAATGGGTGAACCCCCCTCTCTAAAATCATCACCCCCTCCCCCTAGCCATATAATATGAACGGTCCCTAACCCACTCAGTCCCCGCGGCTTCCTCTTTGCAATCTCCACTTTGCCAGCTTCTCTAGTCACATAGGAATGTGGACGTTTGATTTGTTCCCGTCATAAATACACCAATAAAAAAAAGTTACTAACCAAGATGAATGATGGAGTGACGTGCTTGCTGTTGGTACGCCTTTCGGTTTTCTGTCCACCACGACCAGGATACTATCAGGGTTATACCTCACTACCCTACAGCTAGTGTACTGATAAGACTAGTAGGATACTTTAGGAACAACTTTTCTATTTTATTATGATGCGACGTTTCGGTATAGCTTCTTATACTGTCAAGCAAGAGCAAAGTAATACAGCACAGAACCGACTTATATGCATGTAACAGGGATTAACAACAACAATGGAATAGGTAATGATGCAGTAACTGTAGGAGGAAGCCGTGCAACTGTGGAGGATTGACTATGGTTTTACGCCTTTTTTAGCAATATTCCAGCAATATCACGGCGGGGGACACCAGAAATGGGCTTCACAAATTGTACCCATGTGGGGAATCGAACCCGGGAATTCGGCTTGAGGAGCGAACGCTCTAACCACTAGGCTACCCCACCGCCCCAACTGTGGAGGAGGCAGGACAAGATATACATAGCAGATAGGAAAAATTAGCAATGGTGGCTGGAGTGCTCTGGTCTCTTGTTTTCTTCAGTTCATTGTAGGCCGATGAAATGAGGTATCCTTGGTCACTGTTAATTGAGGACATGTGTCTGTGGATTTGAACTGCTTCTGCCAATTTTCTTTTGGTGACGTCATGCTGTTTTTTTAAATAATATTTCAACATTATTCCATTTGATGTTGTGATTGGGATAGTTGATTATGTGTTCTGAGATAGCATCAATAAAACAATCAGACCGTAAATCAGCTAAGTGTTCTTACATTCTGAGATGTATTGGAGGTTTCACCTACGTAGCCTAGGAACCAAGCTGGACCACCTTCCTGGGGATCGAGGGGACTAACATGACTCCCCAAGCAGGAGGTATGCAATCACTGTGGTCACCAGTGGGTGTGTGCAGGGCTAACTAATATTAAAAGAACCCAAAATAGGATCTAACAATTAAAACACTAGTCGATGTTAACTACTTTGATTTAGACAAACTCATGTGCCACTGACTGGATTAAGCCACTTTACTTTGACCACAGACGTGTTGAAACAGACATTTCGAGGCTTGGCCACAGACGTGTTGAAAGAGACATTTCGAGGCTTGACCACAGACGTGTTGAAAGACATATTTCGAGGCTTGACCAACTGTTTCACATGGAGACAAGACCTGTCTGGTGTGCGTGAAGTTAAATAGAGAAAGGCGGAGTAACCAAATGTTCTAGAGAGGGTAGGGCAAAACCCCAACCTGACAAAATCCCTGAGGACAAAATGTCTGCACACTGCGGACAAAATCTCAACAGTGTGAAAAATGACATACAAGTTATTTTGAAATAGATATTTTTATTTTTCCTCATAAATAAGTAGCACTGGCCATAAACACAAACACTAATAACATGATTCAACGCAGTCTCCTAGCATGATTCAACGCAGTCTCCTAGCATGATTCAACGCAATCTCATAACATGATTCAACGCAATCTCATAACATGATTCAACGCAATCTCATAACATGATTCAACGCAGTCTCCTAGCATGATTCAACGCAGTCTCCTAGCATGATTCAACGCAATCTCATAACATGATTCAACGCAGTCTCCTAGCATGATTCAACGCAGTCTCCTAGCATGATTCAACGCAATCTCATAACATGATTCAACGCAATCTCATAACATGATTCAACGCAGTCTCATAACATGATTCAACGCAGTCTCCTAGCATGATTCAACGCAGTCTCCTAGCATGATTCAACGCAATCTCATAACATGATTCAACGCAATCTCATAACATGATTCAACGCAGTCTCATAACATGATTCAACGCAATCTCATAACATGATTCAACGCAGTCTCATAACATGATTCAACGCAATCTCATAGCATGATTCAACGCAATCTCATAACATGATTCAACGCAGTCTCCTAGCATGATTCAACGCAATCTCCTAACATGATTCAACGCAATCTCATAACATGATTCAACGCAGTCTCATAACATGATTCAACGCAGTCTCATAACATGATTCAACGCAGTCTCATAGCATGATTCAACGCAGTCTCCTAGCATGATTCAACGCAATCTCATAACATGATTCAACGCAATCTCATAACATGATTCAACGCAGTCTCATAACATGATTCAACGCAATTTCATAGCATGATTCAACGCAATCTCATAACATGATTCAACGCAATCTCATAACATGATTCAACGCAATCTCTTAGCATGATTCAACGCAATCTTATAACATGATTCAACGCAGTCTCCTAACATGATTCAACGCAGTCTCCTAACATGATTCAACGCAATCTCATAACATGATTCAACGCAGTCTCATAACATGATTCAACGCAATTTCATAGCATGATTCAACGCAATCTCATAGCATGATTCAACGCAGTCTCCTAGCATGATTCAACGCAATCTCCTAACATGATTCAACGCAATCTCATAGCATGATTCAACGCAATCTCATAACATGATTCAACGCAGTCTCATAACATGATTCAACGCAGTCTCCTAGCATGATTCAACGCAATCTCCTAACATGATTCAACGCAGTCTCCTAGCATGATTCAACGCAATCTCATAACATGATTCAACGCAATCTCATAACATGATTCAACGCAGTCTCATAACATGATTCAACGCAATTTCATAGCATGATTCAACGCAATCTCATAACATGATTCAACGCAATCTCATAACATGATTCAACGCAATCTCTTAGCATGATTCAACGCAATCTTATAACATGATTCAACGCAGTCTCATAACATGATTCAACGCAGTCTCCTAACATGATTCAACGCAATCTCATAACATGATTCAACGCAGTCTCATAACATGATTCAACGCAATTTCATAGCATGATTCAACGCAATCTCATAGCATGATTCAACGCAGTCTCCTAGCATGATTCAACGCAATCTCCTAACATGATTCAACGCAATCTCATAGCATGATTCAACGCAATCTCATAACATGATTCAACGCAGTCTCATAACATGATTCAACGCAATTTCATAGCATGATTCAACGCAATCTCATAACATGATTCAACGCAGTCTCATAACATGATTCAACGCAATCTCATAGCATGATTCAACGCATTCTCATAACATGATTCAACGCAATCTCTTAGCATGATTCAACGCAATCTCATAACATGATTCAACGCAATCTCATAACATGATTCAACGCAATCTCTTAGCATGATTCGACGAAGTCTCATAACATGATTCAACGCAATCTCATAACATGATTCAACGCAATCTGATGTTGTGGCCAATGCCAGACAGACAGTTTGGAATGTCTTTTCGGTCAATGCACAGATTCTGGAGGCACTTAGCTGTTTTGATTCGGAATTTCATCTGCCTCTTGGATCGTCTCTCCTCCCTGGAATGGAGATCATTGTCTCGACAATTGCAACATCCCTCCGGAATCCCACGCTGATGGATGATTATGGCCGATTAAATGCCTCTGGCCTCTGTTACGAAATTGGAATGCTTATCAACTTATCTGTATGGCCTCTGTCATGAAAACATGATAATTAACTTACCTCACTGGGTTCTGGGTTCTATTTAAATGGGATTTTGTCCCATGTTGGTCATTTTGGTGTGGGATTTTGTCCAAAGAAATTTTGTCCTATGGGATTTTGTCCGTCCCCTGTTCTACAGCAGTGTAAACGAAGGTGACTCCCATCTGTATCATACACATTTCCCGCTCGCGACCGTTTAGGTGTCAGTGTGAGTGGCTGACAGGCCGTCAGTGTCATACCCTGGCTGCACGTGTAGTTCTGGTAGCCCGGTCCACACGTGGTTTTCGTGCCGTTTGAACGATGTGTTTTGTTTTGATTCAGTTTGAACTTGTGTTTTCACATCGTTGCAGTTTCATTTTATAAGTGGTAAAGTTTCTTTGGGGCTTCAGTTTAGCTCCCAGGGACCTTACAGGGGCGGATACAGGAATTTCGTTTGGGGTGCACCCCAATCCTCGGAACCATGGGCATAAAACATGTAGTACATTTGGAACACTCTTGCAACCCCCCTCTGGATCCGCGCATGCCTTACCAATACATGTCATATAACCCGTGATAAGATCCACTGATTAGATTGGCCAAATTTGAGAGAAAAAAACTCATAAACGTCCGGTGATAGTTTTTAATGTGAAACATCATAACTGGCCCAATTTACAATTTTATAGTTACCACGTCGAACCCTGTCATTGGTGCATAAAGGCACATCTGATATTGTGGGGCATGACTTCACTGAAAATATAAACCTCTGAACTGAATTGGTTAATTATAAATCGTTACACGTGTATCTAACGTGTGCACGTGATTGTACGAGCTGACAGTAGTAGATCGTGTTCTAATAGCTGTCTGCTCGCCCTAGACAATGTTCAACATTCACACGGAGGAAACAGTATCTAACGTGTGCACGTGATTGTACGAGCTGACAGTAGTAGATCGTGTTCTAATAGCTGTCTGCTCGCCCTAGACAATGTTCAACATTCACACGGAGGAAACAGTATCTAACGTGTGCACGTGATTGTACGAGCTGAACGTTCATGCACACCACTTGACCCAACAGTACTATATAGATCGTGTTCTAATAGCTGTCTGCTCGCCCTAGACAATGTTCAACATTCACACGGAGGAAACAGTATCTAACGTGTGCACGTGATTGTACGAGCTGACAGTAGTAGATCGTGTTCTAATAGCTGTCTGCTCGCCCTAGACAATGTTCAACATTCACACGGAGGAAACAGTATCTAACGTGTGCACGTGATTGTACGAGCTGACAGTAGTGGATCATGTTCTAATAGCTGTCTGCTCGCCCTAGACAATGTTCAACATTCACACGGAGGAAACAGTATCTAACGTGTGCACGTGATTGTACGAGCTGACAGTAGTAGATCATGTTCTAATAGCTGTCTGCTCGCCCTAGACAATGTTCAACATTCACACGGAGGAAACAGTATCTAACGTGTGCACGTGATTGTACGAGCTGACAGTAGTAGATCATGTTCTGCTCGCCCTAGACAATGTTCAACATTCACACGGAGGAAACAGTATCTAACGTGTGCACGTGATTGTACGAGCTGACAGTAGTAGATCATGTTCTAATAGCTGTCTGCTCGCCCTAGACAATGTTCAACATTCACACGGAGGAAACAGTATCTAACGTGTGCACGTGATTGTACGAGCTGACAGTAGTAGATCATGTTCTAATAGCTGTCTGCTCGCCCTAGACAATGTTCAACATTCACACGGAGGAAACAGTATCTAACGTGTGCACGTGATTGTACGAGCTGACAGTAGTAGATCGTGTTCTAATAGCTGTCTGCTCGCCCTAGACAATGTTCAACATTCACACGGAGGAAACAGTATCTAACGTGTGCACGTGATTGTACGAGCTGACAGTAGTAGATCGTGTTCTAATAGCTGTCTGCTCGCCCTAGACAATGTTCAACATTCACACGGAGGAAACAGTATCTAACGTGTGCACGTGATTGTACGAGCTGACAGTAGTAGATCGTGTTCTAATAGCTGTCTGCTCGCCCTAGACAATGTTCAACATTCACACGGAGGAAACAGTATCTAACGTGTGCACGTGATTGTACGAGCTGACAGTAGTAGATCGTGTTCTAATAGCTGTCTGCTCGCCCTAGACAATGTTCAACATTCACACGGAGGAAACAGTATCTAACGTGTGCACGTGATTGTACGAGCTGACAGTAGTAGATCGTGTTCTAATAGCTGTCTGCTCGCCCTAGACAATGTTCAACATTCACACGGAGGAAACAGTATCTAACGTGTGCACGTGATTGTACGAGCTGACAGTAGTAGATCGTGTTCTAATAGCTGTCTGCTCGCCCTAGACAATGTTCAACATTCACACGGAGGAAACAGTATCTAACGTGTGCACGTGATTGTACGAGCTGACAGTAGTAGATCGTGTTCTAATAGCTGTCTGCTCGCCCTAGACAATGTTCAACATTCACACGGAGGAAACAGTATCTAACGTGTGCACGTGATTGTACGAGCTGACAGTAGTAGATCGTGTTCTAATAGCTGTCTGCTCGCCCCCTAGACAATGTTCAACATTCACACGGAGGAAACAGTATCTAACGTGTGCACGTGATTGTACGAGCTGACAGTAGTAGATCGTGTTCTAATAGCTGTCTGCTCGCCCTAGACAATGTTCAACATTCACACGGAGGAAACAGTATCTAACGTGCACGGATTGTACGAGCTGACAGTAGTAGATCATGTTCTAATAGCTGTCTGCTCGCCCTAGACAATGTTCAACATTCACACGGAGGAAACAGTATCTAACGTGTGCACGTGATTGTACGAGCTGACAGTAGTAGATCATGTTCTGCTCGCCCTAGACAATGTTCAACATTCACACGGAGGAAACAGTATCTAACGTGTGCATCGGATTGCACGAGCTGACAGTAGTAGATCGTGTTCTAATAGCTGTCTGCTCGCCTCTAGACAATGTTCAACATTCACACGGAGGAAACAGTATCTAACGTGTGCATGCGGATTGTACGAGCTGACAGTAGTAGATCATGTTCTGCTCGCCTCTAGACAATGTTCAACATTCACACGGAGGAAACAGTATCTAACGTGTGCACGCGATTGCACGAGCTGACAGTAGTAGATCGTGTTCTAATAGCTGTCTGCTCGCCCTAGACAATGTTCAACATTCACACGGAGGAAACAGTATCTAACGCGGTGCACGTGATTGTACGAGCTGACAGTAGTAGATCGTGTTCTAATAGCTGTCTGCTCGCCCTGTAGACAATGTTCAACATTCACACGGAGGAAACAGTATCTAACGTGGTGCACGTGATTGTACGAGCTGACAGTAGTAGATCGTGTTCTAATAGCTGTCTGCTCGCCTCTAGACAATGTTCAACATTCACACGGAGGAAACAGTATCTAACGTGTGCACGTGATTGTACGAGCTGACAGTAGTAGATCGTGTTCTAATAGCTGTCTGCTCGCCTAGACAATGTTCAACATTCACACGGAGGAAACAGTATCTAACGTGTGCACGTGATTGTACGAGCTGACAGTAGTAGATCATGTTCTAATAGCTGTCTGCTCGCCCTCTAGACAATGTTCAACATTCACACGGAGGAAACAGTATCTAACGTGTGCACGGATTGCACGAGCTGACAGTAGTAGATCATGTTCTGCTCGCCCTAGACAATGTTCAACATTCACACGGAGGAAACAGTATCTAACGCGTGCACGTGATTGCACGAGCTGACAGTAGTAGATCGTGTTCTAATAGCTGTCTGCTCGCCCTAGACAATGTTCAACATTCACACGGAGGAAACAGTATCTAACGCAGTGCACGTGATTGCACGAGCTGACAGTAGTGGATCATGTTCTAATAGCTGTCTGCTCGCCCCTAGACAATGTTCAACATTCACACGGAGGAAACAGTATCTAACGCAGTGCACGCGGATTGTACGAGCTGACAGTAGTGGATCATGTTCTAATAGCTGTCTGCTCGCCCTAGACAATGTTCAACATTCACACGGAGGAAACAGTATCTAACGTGTGCACGTGATTGTACGAAAGGACAGTAGTAGATCATGTTCTAATAGCTGTCTGCTCGCCTCTAGACAATGTTCAACATTCACACGGAGGAAACAGTATCTAACGTGGTGCACGCGATTGCACGAGCTGACAGTAGTAGATCATGTTCTGCTCGCCCTAGACAATGTTCAACATTCACACGGAGGAAACAGTATCTAACGTGTGCACGTGATTGCACGAGCTGACAGTAGTAGATCGTGTTCTAATAGCTGTCTGCTCGCCTCTAGACAATGTTCAACATTCACACGGAGGAAACAGTATCTAACGTGGTGCACGGATTGTACGAGCTGACAGTAGTAGATCATGTTCTGCTCGCCCTAGACAATGTTCAACATTCACACGGAGGAAACAGTATCTAACGTGTGCACGTGATTGCACGAGCTGACAGTAGTAGATCGTGTTCTAATAGCTGTCTGCTCGCCTAGACAATGTTCAACATTCACACGGAGGAAACAGTATCTAACGTGGTGCACGGATTGCACGAGCTGACAGTAGTGGATCATGTTCTAATAGCTGTCTGCTCGCCTCTAGACAATGTTCAACATTCACACGGAGGAAACAGTATCTAACGTGTGCACGGATTGCACGAGCTGACAGTAGTGGATCATGTTCTAATAGCTGTCTGCTCGCCCTAGACAATGTTCAACATTCACACGGAGGAAACAGTATCTAACGGTGCATCGGATTGCACGAGCTGACAGTAGTAGATCATGTTCTAATAGCTGTCTGCTCGCCTCTAGACAATGTTCAACATTCACACGGAGGAAACAGTATCTAACGGTGCACGTGATTGTACGAGCTGACAGTAGTAGATCATGTTCTGCTCGCCCTAGACAATGTTCAACATTCACACGGAGGAAACAGTATCTAACGGTGCATCGGATTGCACGAGCTGACAGTAGTAGATCGTGTTCTAATAGCTGTCTGCTCGCCCTAGACAATGTTCAACATTCACACGGAGGAAACAGTATCTAACGTGTGCATCGGATTGCACGAGCTGACAGTAGTAGATCATGTTCTAATAGCTGTCTGCTCGCCTCTAGACAATGTTCAACATTCACACGGAGGAAACAGTATCTAACGCGTGCACGGGATTGTACGAGCTGACAGTAGTAGATCATGTTCTGCTCGCCCTAGACAATGTTCAACATTCACACGGAGGAAACAGTATCTAACGTGTGCATCGTTGATTGTACGAGCTGACAGTAGTAGATCATGTTCTAATAGCTGTCTGCTCGCCCTAGACAATGTTCAACATTCACACGGAGGAAACAGTATCTAACGTGTGCACGTGATTGTACGAGCTGACAGTAGTAGATCATGTTCTGCTCGCCTCTAGACAATGTTCAACATTCACACGGAGGAAACAGTATCTAACGTGGTGCACGTGATTGCACGAGCTGACAGTAGTAGATCGTGGTTCTAATAGCTGTCTGCTCGCCTCTAGACAATGTTCAACATTCACACGGAGGAAACAGTATCTAACGTGTGCACGTGATTGTACGAGCTGACAGTAGTAGATCGTGTTCTAATAGCTGTCTGCTCGCCCTAGACAATGTTCAACATTCACACGGAGGAAACAGTATCTAACGTGTGCACGTGATTGTACGAGCTGACAGTAGTAGATCATGTTCTGCTCTCGCCCTAGACAATGTTCAACATTCACACGGAGGAAACAGTATCTAACGTGTGCACGCAGATTGTACGAGCTGACAGTAGTGGATCATGTTCTAATAGCTGTCTGCTCGCCCTAGACAATGTTCAACATTCACACGGAGGAAACAGTATCTAACGTGTGCACGGATTGTACGAGCTGACAGTAGTGGATCATGTTCTAATAGCTGTCTGCTCGCCCTAGACAATGTTCAACATTCACACGGAGGAAACAGTATCTAACGTGTGCACGTGATTGTACGAGCTGACAGTAGTAGATCATGTTCTAATAGCTGTCTGCTCGCCCTAGACAATGTTCAACATTCACACGGAGGAAACAGTATCTAACGTGTGCACGTGATTGTACGAGCTGACAGTAGTAGATCATGTTCTGCTCGCCCTAGACAATGTTCAACATTCACACGGAGGAAACAGTATCTAACGTGTGCACGTGATTGTACGAGCTGACAGTAGTAGATCGTGTTCTAATAGCTGTCTGCTCGCCCTAGACAATGTTCAACATTCACACGGAGGAAACAGTATCTAACGTGTGCACGTGATTGTACGAGCTGACAGTAGTAGATCGTGTTCTAATAGCTGTCTGCTCGCCCTAGACAATGTTCAACATTCACACGGAGGAAACAGTATCTAACGTGTGCACGTGATTGTACGAGCTGACAGTAGTAGATCGTGTTCTAATAGCTGTCTGCTCGCCCTAGACAATGTTCAACATTCACACGGAGGAAACAGTATCTAACGTGTGCACGTGATTGTACGAGCTGGCAGTAGTAGATCATGTTCTAATAGCTGTCTGCTCGCCCTAGACAATGTTCAACATTCACACGGAGGAAACAGTATCTAACGTGTGCACGTGATTGTACGAGCTGACAGTAGTAGATCGTGTTCTAATAGCTGTCTGCTCGCCCTAGACAATGTTCAACATTCACACGGAGGAAACAGTATCTAACGTGTGCACGTGATTGTACGAGCTGACAGTAGTGGATCATGTTCTAATAGCTGTCTGCTCGCCCTAGACAATGTTCAACATTCACACGGAGGAAACAGTATCTAACGTGTGCACGTGATTGTACGAGCTGACAGTAGTAGATCGTGTTCTAATAGCTGTCTGCTCGCCCTAGACAATGTTCAACATTCACACGGAGGAAACAGTATCTAACGTGTGCACGTGATTGTACGAGCTGACAGTAGTGGATCATGTTCTAATAGCTGTCTGCTCGCCCTAGACAATGTTCAACATTCACACGGAGGAAACAGTATCTAACGTGTGCACGTGATTGTACGAGCTGACAGTAGTGGATCATGTTCTAATAGCTGTCTGCTCGCCCTAGACAATGTTCAACATTCACACGGAGGAAACACAATGCTTTAAGGGCGCTTCATTCCGTTTGTCATATTACCAAAGGGACATAACTCCAGTAGTAACCAAGATGGCCGCGCCCATGCAGCATGTCAAACTTTGGAAACTGCAGTTGTTCTCACTATATCTGCGCAGATATTCATCGACATCTAATGAAGTAAAGAAAAAGAGATCATGGAAAAAGGTACAATATCCGGTAGCGATTATAGAATGCGTTCGCCACCCATTGAAAAATAGCACTATGCGAAATACATTTATCTCAAGAAAAGCTCTTAGTACCTCGTCACTGACCTCTCCTGCTTAGGGTTATATGTGTAGGGATCAGAAAAGGTGATCCCCAATCTTAAGCCCTTATATTCTAAGATAAACAAATGCTGGCGATTATATTGTATGGGTGCTCCAATATCTGAAGTACTCCCGGACATAGAAATATAATGATTTTTGGCTTTATAGACTATGAGGCACAGTCTTGTTGTTGGATAGTTCTCATGAGTTGCCAGTTTGTGAAGATACTTGTTCATTAGTAGTGGTATGCTATGAATATATATGAAAATGGTTATCTCCCTTGAACCGCCATGTGCTGTTGACAATTGTCATGTATTTTCGATGTTATGGGTGGATGGTCCTGGATTCCAACAGACAACATAAAGTCCGCCATACATTCTTAATCCGCCATGATCTTATTACATCATCACACTCCTTGATGACGTTACTTGCCTACGTCATCATTTTGGGGGATGTACTATTTACTTAACAAATATCACAACAATCACGATGAAAAACTTTGGCTGACGAGTTTGAAATACTGTGACTGTGACTGTGAGCTTGGTGAGTGTAAACGCAAACTTAGCGCATCATGTAGCATGAATCAAGCCCTAGCTAGCCCATCAATATGTCAGTCGTGATATCAGCCATCAAAAATAAACTCCAATTTCACAGCCTAAATTCGTCATGTTCTCTCACGAACACTTTTATTGCGATTCAGAAGTGAAGAGTGTCATTCCCGAATACCAGTGGATTTTGTTGCGTTCTGGCTCCTATGTTGCTGGGCACATCCTTTGACTAAGCTTAGGCAAAGGAGTGAGGGTCAATTTGATTTGAAATTTGCACTTCTCTTTCACCTGCTCACTGTCGGTGTTTGTGGGGGCCTTCTCGAATCAGGGGCAGGTCCCGATTCTAGTCGAAGACTTTAATTATGGGGGTACCTTGTAAATCGTGAGCTCGAGGTGATATTTCCAATACAAGGTACAATTTCATTGATGATGTTCTCAAAATCGGCCAACAATATTCTGTAGTGATCTCGAATAGTGTTTTCTACTAATAGTTTCTGTTTACAGTTATCTTCAGTTTGTCTGCAGCAACACTTGTTCCACACACTTAAGTGGGATATATACCATTATACATCATACATGTAGATTACCTCCCTTTGACATTGTTTGGATTACCCCTCCAGATCTAGGTGTCTTTCACTGAACACACTTAGGTGGGATATATACCATTATACATCATACATATACATTACCTCCCTTTGACGTCTGGATTACCCCTCCAGATCTAGGTGTCTTTCACTGAACACGCTTAGGTGGGATATATACCATTATACGTTATACATGTATACACATTACCTCCCTTTGACGTTGTCTGGATTACCCCTCCACATCTAGTTGTCTTTCACTGAACACACTTAGGTGGGATATATACCATTATACGTTATACATATACATTACCTCCCTTTGACATTGTCTGGATTACCCCTCCAGATCTAGTTGTCTTTCACTGAACACGCTTAGGTGGGATATATACCATTATACGTTATACATGTATACACATTACCTCCCTTTGACGTTGTCTGGATTACCCCTCCAGATCTAGTTGTCTTTCACTGAACACACTTAGGTGGGATATATACCATTATACGTTATACATGTATACACATTACCTCCCTTTGACGTTGTCTGGATTACCCCTCCAGATCTAGTTGTCTTTCACTGAACACACTTAGGTGGGATATATACCATTATACGTTATACAGATACATTCCTCCCTTTGACGCTGTCTGGATTACCCCTCCAGATCTAGTTGTCTTTCACTGAACACACTTAGGTGGGATATATACCATTATACGTTATACATACACATTACCTCCCATTGACGTTGTCTGGATTACCCCTCCAGATCTAGTTGTCTTTCACTGACCACACTTAGGTGGGATATGTACCATTATACATTATACATACACATTACCTCCCATTGACTTTGTCTGGATTACCCCTCCAGATCTAGTTGTCTTTCACTGAACACACTTAGGTGGGATATGTACCATTATACATTATACATACACATTACCTCCCATTGACTTTGTCTGGATTACCCCTCCAGATCTAGTTGTCTTTCACTGAACACACTTAGGTGGGATATATACCATTATACGTTATACATACACATTACCTCCCTTTGACGTTGTCTGGATTACCCCTCCAGATCTAGTTGTCTTTCACTGACCACACTTAGGTGGGATATGTACCATTATACATTATACATACACATTACCTCCCATTGACGTTGTCTGGATTACCCCTCCAGATCTAGTTGTCTTTCACTGAACACACTTAGGTGGGATATGTACCATTATACATTATACATACACATTAACTCCCTTTGATGTTGTTTGGATTACCCCTCCAGATCTAGTTGTCTTTCACTGAACACGCTTAGGTGGGATATATACCATTATACATCATACATATACATTACCTCACATTGACGTTGTCTGGATTACCCCTCCAGATCTAGTTGTCTTTCACTGAACACACTTAGGTTGGATATATACCATTATACATCATACATATACATTACCTCCCTTTGACGTTGTCTGAATTACCCCTCCAGATCTAGTTGTCTTTCACTGAACACACTTAGGTGGGATATATACCATTATATTTTATACATATACATTACCTCCCTTTGACATTGTCTGGATTACCCCTCCAGATCTAGTTGTCTTTCACTGAACACGCTTTAGGTGGGATATATACCATTATATGTTATACATGTATACACATTACCTCCCTTTGACGTCTGGATTACCCCTCCAGATCTAGTTGTCTTTCACTGAACACACTTAGGTGGGATATATACCATTATACATCATACATACACATTACCTCCCATTGACGTTGTCTGGATTACCCCTCCAGATCTAGTTGTCTTTCACTGAACACACTTAGGTGGGATATGTACCATTATACGTTATACATGTATACACATTACCTCCCTTTGACGTTGTCTGGATTACCCCTCCAGATCTAGTTGTCTTTCACTGAACACACTTAGGTGGGATATATACCATTATACGTTATACATGTATACACATTACCTCCCTTTGACGTCTGGATTACCCCTCCAGATCTAGTTGTCTTTCACTCAACACACTTAGGTGGGATATATACCATTATACGTTATACATGTATACACATTACCTCCCTTTGACGTCTGGATTACCCCTCCAGATCTAGTTGTCTTTCACTGAACACACTTAGGTGGGATATATACCATTATACATCATACATACACATTACCTCCCATTGACGTTGTCTGGATTACCCCTCCAGATCTAGTTGTCTTTCACTGAACACACTTAGGTGGGATATGTACCATTATACGTTATACATGTATACACATTATCTCCCTTTGACGTTGTCTGGATTACCCCTCCAGATCTAGTTGTCTTTCACTGAACACACTTAGGTGGGATATATACCATTATACATCATACATACACATTACCTCCCATTGACGTTGTCTGGATTACCCCTCCAGATCTAGTTGTCTTTCACTGAACACACTTAGGTGGGATATATACCATTATAAGTTATACATATACATTACCTCCCTTTGACATTGTCTGGATTACCCCTCCAGATCTAGTTGTCTTTCACTGAACACACTTAGGTGGGATATATACCATTATACGTTATACATGTATACACATTACCTCCCTTTGGACGTCTGGATTACCCCTCCAGATCTAGTTGTCTTTCACTGAACACACTTAGGTGGGATATATACCATTATATCGTTATACATATATACATTACCTCCCTTTGGCGTTGTCTGGATTACCCCTCCAGATCTAGTTGTCTTTCACTGAACACACTTAGGTGGGATATATACCATTATACATCATACATACACATTACCTCCCATTGACGTTGTCTGGATTACCCCTCCAGATCTAGTTGTCTTTCACTGAACACACTTAGGTGGGATATATACCATTATACATCATACATATACATTACCTCCCATTGACGTTGTCTGGATTACCCCTCCAGATCTAGTTGTCTTTCACTGAACACACTTAGGTGGGATATATACCATTATACGTTATACATATACATACATTACCTCCCTTGACGCGTCTGGATTACCCCTCAGATCTAGTTGTCTTTCACTGAACACACATTAGGTGGGATATATACCATTATACGTTATACATATACATTACCTCCCTTTGACGTTGTCTGGATTACCCCTCCAGATCTAGTTGTCTTTCACTGAACACACTTAGGTGGGATATATACCATTATACGTTATACATGTATACACATTACCTCCCTTTGACGTTGTCTGGATTACCCCTCCAGATCTAGTTGTCTTTCACTGAACACACTTAGGTGGGATATATACCATTATACGTTATACATGTATACACATTACCTCCCTTTGACGTCTGGATTACCCCTCCAGATCTAGTTGTCTTTCACTGAACACACTTAGGTGGGATATATACCATTATACGTTATACATGTATACACATTACCTCCCTTTGACGTCTGGATTACCCCTCCAGATCTAGTTGTCTTTCACTGAACACACTTAGGTGGGATATATACCATTATACATCATACATACACATTACCTCCCATTGACGTTGTCTGGATTACCCCTCCAGATCTAGTTGTCTTTCACTGAACACACTTAGGTGGGATATGTACCATTATACATTATACATACACATTACCTCCCATTGACTTTGTCTGGATTACCCCTCCAGATCTAGTTGTCTTTCACTGAACACACTTAGGTGGGATATATACCATTATACTGTTATACATACACATTACCTCCCTTTGACGTTGTCTGGATTACCCCTCCAGATCTAGTTGTCTTTCACTGACCACACTTAGGTGGGATATGTACCATTATACATTATACATACACATTACCTCCCATTGACGTTGTCTGGATTACCCCTCCAGATCTAGTTGTCTTTCACTGAACACACTTAGGTGGGATATGTACCATTATACATTATACATACACATTACCTCCCTTTGATGTTGTTTGGATTACCCCTCCAGATCTAGTTGTCTTTCACTGAACACGCTTAGGTGGGATATATACGATTATACATCATACATATACATTACCTCACATTGACGTTGTCTGGATTACCCCTCCAGATCTAGTTGTCTTTCACTGAACACACTTAGGTGGGATATATACCATTATACGTTATACATATACATTACCTCCCTTTGACGTCTGGATTACCCCTCCAGATCTAGTTGTCTTTCACTGAACACACTTAGGTGGGATATATACCATTATACGTTATACATGTATACACATTACCTCCCTTTGACGTTGTCTGGATTACCCCTCCAGATCTAGTTGTCTTTCACTGAACACACTTAGGTGGGATATATACCATTATAAGTTATACATGTATACACATTACCTCCCTTTGACGCCGTCTGGATTACCCCTCCAGATCTAGTTGTCTTTCACTGAACACACTTAGGTGGGATATGTACCATTATACATCATACATATACATTACCTCCCATTGACGTTGTCTGGATTACCCCTCCAGATCTAGTTGTCTTTCACTGAACACACTTAGGTGGGATATGTACCATTATACGTTATACATACACATTACCTCCCATTGACGTTGTCTGGATTACCCCTCCAGATCTAGTTGTCTTTCACTGAACACACTTAGGTGGGATATGTACCATTATACGTTATACAGATACATTACCTCCCATTGACGTCGTCTGGATTACCCCTCCAGATCTAGGTGTCTTTCACTGAACATGCTTAGGTGGGATATATACCATTATACGTTATACATGTATACACATTACCTCCCTTTGACGTCTGGATTACCCCTCCAGATCTAGTTGTCTTTCACTGAACACACTTAGGTGGGATATATACCATTATACGTTATACATGTATACACATTACCTCCCTTTGACGTTGTCTGGATTACCCCTCCAGATCTAGTTGTCTTTCACTGAACACACTTAGGTGGGATATATACCATTATAATGCTATATACATACACATTACCTCCCTTTGACGCCTGGATTACCCTCCAGATCTAGTTGTCTTTCACTGAACACACTTAGGTGGGATATATACCATTATACGTTATACATGTATACACATTACCTCCCTTTGACGTTGTCTGGATTACCCCTCCAGATCTAGTTGTCTTTCACTGAACACACTTAGGTGGGATATATACCATTATAAGTTATACATGTATACACATTACCTCCCTTTGACGTTGTCTGGATTACCCCTCCAGATCTAGTTGTCTTTCACTGAACACACTTAGTATGGATATGTACCATTATACATCATACATATACATTACCTCCCATTGACGTTGTCTGGATTACCCCTCCAGATCTAGTTGTCTTTCACTGAACACACTTAGGTGGGATATGTACCATTATAATGTTATACATACACATTACCTCCCATTGACGTTGTCTGGATTACCCCTCCAGATCTAGTTGTCTTTCACTGAACACACTTAGGTGGGATATGTACCATTATACGTTATACAGATACATTACCTCCCATTGACGTTGTCTGGATTACCCCTCCAGATCTAGGTGTCTTTCACTGAACATGCTTAGGTGGGATATATATACCATTATAATTATACATGTATACACATTACCTCCCTTTGACGCCTGGATTACCCTCCAGATCTAGTTGTCTTTCACTGAACACACTTAGGTGGGATATATACCATTATACGTTATACATGTATACACATTACCTCCCTTTGACGCTTCTGGATTACCCCTCCAGATCTAGTTGTCTTTCACTGAACACACTTAGGTGGGATATATACCATTATACATCATACATACACATTACCTCCCATTGACGTTGTCTGGATTACCCCTCCAGATCTAGTTGTCTTTCACTGAACACACTTAGGTGGGATATGTACCATTATACATCATACATATACATTACCTCCCATTGACGTTGTCTGGATTACCCCTCCAGATCTAGTTGTCTTTCACTGAACACACTTAGGTGGGATATATACCATTATACGTTATACATGTATACACATTACCTCCCTTTGACGTTGTCTGGATTACCCCTCCAGATCAAGTTGTCTTTCACTGAACACACTTAGGTGGGATATATACCATTATAAGTTATATATGTATACACATTACCTCCCTTTGACGCTGTCTGGATTACCCCTCCAGATCTAGTTGTCTTTCACTGAACACACTTAGGTTGGATATGTACCATTATACATCATACATATACATTACCTCCCATTGACGTTGTCTGGATTACCCTCCAGATCTAGTTGTCTTTCACTGAACACACTTAGGTGGTATACGTACCATTATACGTTATACATACACATTACCTCCCTTTGACGTTGTCTGGATTACCCCTCCAGATCTAGTTGTCTTTCACTGAACACACTTAGGTGGGATATATACCATTATACGTTATACATGTATACACATTACCTCCCATTGACGTTGTCTGGATTACCCCTCCAGATCTAGTTGTCTTTCACTGAACACACTTAGGTGGGATATATACCATTATACGTTATACATATACATTACCTCCCTTTGACGTCTGGATTACCCCTCCAGATCTAGTTGTCTTTCACTGAACACACTTAGGTGGGATATATACCATTATACGTTATACATGTATACACATTACCTCCCTTTGACGTTGTCTGGATTACCCCTCCAGATCAAGTTGTCTTTCACTGAACACACTTAGGTGGGATATATACCATTATAAGTTATACATGTATACACATTACCTCCCTTTGACGTTGTCTGGATTACCCCTCCAGATCTAGTTGTCTTTCACTGAACACACTTAGGTTGGATATGTACCATTATACATCATACATATACATTACCTCCCATTGACGTTGTCTGGATTACCCCTCCAGATCTAGTTGTCTTTCACTGAACACACTTAGGTGGGATATGTACCATTATACGTTATACATACACATTACCTCCCATTGACGTTGTCTGGATTACCCCTCCAGATCTAGTTGTCTTTCACTGAACACACTTAGGTGGGATATGTACCATTATACGTTATACAGATACATTACCTCCCATTGACGTTGTCTGGATTACCCCTCCAGATCTAGGTGTCTTTCACTGAACACACTTAGGTGGGATATATACCATTATACGTTATACATGTATACACATTACCTCCCATTGACGTTGTCTGGATTACCCCTCCAGATCTAGTAGTCTTTCACTGAACACACTTAGGTGGGATATGTACCATTATACGTTATACATACACATTACCTCCCATTGACGTTGTCTGGATTACCCCTCCAGATCTAGTTGTCTTTCACTGAACACACTTAGGTGGGATATGTACCATTATACGTTATACATACACATTACCTCCCTTTGACGTTGTCTGGATTACCCCTCCAGATCTAGTTGTCTTTCACTGAACACACTTAGGTGGGATATATACCATTATACGTTATACATGTATACACATTACCTCCCTTTGACGTTGTCTGGATTACCCCTCCAGATCTAGTTGTCTTTCACTGAACACACTTAGGTGGGATATATGCCATTATACGTTATACATGTATACACTTTACCTCCCTTTGACGTCTGGATTACCCCTCTAGATCTAGTTGTATTTCACTGAACACACTTAGGTGGGATATATACCATTATACGTTATACATGTATACACATTACCTCCCTTTGACGTTGTCTGGATTACCCCTCCAGATCTAGTTGTCTTTCACTGAACACACTTAGGTGGGATATATGCCATTATACGTTATACATGTATACACTTTACCTCCCTTTGACGTCTGGATTACCCCTCCAGATCTAGTTGTCTTTCACTGAACTTCCGTGTATATCATTTTCAGAGAGACAAGGTAACATTTCTGGATTCTCTTCGTGTGTTTGTGCTCGGGGGCGCCGGCGGACAGGGCCTGGCCAAACATGGCGGTGTGGGTGGTGATGGTGGTGATGTTGTCATGGAGGGCAGGGAAGGCCAGACACTGTACAGCCTGGCCACAGCATTCCCTGAGAAGAGGTTCACCGCCGGTACTGGGGGTAACAGCAGGTGAGGCCCTCCATCTTGTACACTATGTGTTGGTGTGTTTCTCAGTCCATGTCAAGATGTCAGTAAGGGGCACCTACAGGGCATGGCAGTTTGGGTCACCTAATGGATATGGCAGTTTGGGGCACCTACAGGGCATGGCAGTTAGGGGCACCTACAAGGTATGGCAGTTAGGGGCACCTACATGGTATGGCAGTTAAGGCACCTACAGGGTATGTCAGTTTGGGGCAAGTACAGGATATGTCAGTTAGAGGCACCTACAGGGCATGGCAGTTTTGGGCACCTACATGGTATGTCAGTAAGGGGCTCCTACAGGTCATTGCAATTTGGGGCTCCTACAGGGCATGGCAGTTTGGGGCACCTACAGGGCATGGCAGTTTGGGGCACCTACATGGTATGTCAGTAAGGGGCACCTTCAGGTCATCGCAATTTGTGGCACCTACAGGGCATGGCAGTTTGGGGCACCTACATGGTATGTCAGTAAGGGGCACCTACAGGTCATTGCAATTTGTGGCACCTACAGGGCATGGCAGTTTGGGGCACCTAATGGGTATGGCAGTTTGGGGCACCTACAGGGCATGGCAGTTAGGGAACCTACAGGGTATGGCAGTTAGGGGCACCTACAAGGTATGGCAGTTAGGGGCACCTACATGGTATGGCAGTTAAGGCACCTACAGGGTATGTCAGTTTGGGGCAAGTACAGGATATGTCAGTTAGAGGCACCTACAGGGCTATGCAGTTTTGGGCACCTACATGGTATGTCAGTAAGGGGCACCTACAGGTCATTGCAATTTGGGGCTCCTACAGGGCATGGCAGTTTGTGGCTCCTACAGGGCATGGCAGTTTGGGGCACCTACATGGTATGTCAGTAAGGGGCACCTTCAGGTCATCGCAATTTGTGGCACCTACAGGGCATGGCAGTTTGGGGCACCTACATGGTATGTCAGTAAGGGGCACCTACAGGTCATTGCAATTTGTGGCACCTACAGGGCATGGCAGTTTGGGGCACCTACATGGTATGTCAGTAAGGGGCACCTACAGGTCATCGCAATTTGTGGCACTTACGGGATATGGCAGTTTGGGGCTCCTACAGGGGATGGCAGTTTGGGGCACCTACAGGGCATGGCAGTTCCGGAACCTACAGGGTATGGCAGTTAGGGTCACCTACAGGGTATGGCAGTTAGGGGCACCTACATGGCATGGCAGTTTGGGGCACCTACAGGGTATGGCAGTTTGGGGCTCCTACAGGGTATGATAGATTGGGATACCTATATGGATTGGCAGTTTGAGGCACCTACAGGGCATGGCAGTTTGGGGCACCTACAGGGCCTATATGGCAGTTTGAGGGGCACCTTTTTGGGGCACCTACAGGGTATGATAGATTGGGATACCTATATGGATTGGCAGTTTGAGGCACCTACAGGGCATGGCAGTTTGGGGCACCTACAGGGTATGATAGATTGGGATACCTATATGGATTGGCAGTTTGAGGCACCTACAGGGCATGGCAGTTTGGGGCACCTACAGGGTATGATAGATTGGGATACCTATATGGATTGGCAGTTTGAGGCACCTACAGGGCATGGCAGTTTGGGGCTCCTACAGGGTATGATAGATTGGGATACCTATATGGATTGGCAGTTTGAGGCACCTACAGGGCATGGCAGTTTGGGGCACCTACAGGGTATGATAGATTGGGATACCTATATGGATTGGCAGTTTGGGGCACCTACAGGGTATGGCAGTTTGGGGCTCCTACAGGGTATGATAGATTGGGATACCTATATGGATTGGCAGTTTGAGGCACCTACAGGGCATGGCAGTTTGGGGCACCTACAGGGTATGATAGGGGAGTATATGGATTGGCAGTTTGGGGCACCTACAGGGTATGGCAGTTTGGGGCTCCTACAGGGTATGATAGATTGGGATACCTATATGGATTGGCAGTTTGAGGCACCTACAGGGCATGGCAGTTTGGGGCACCTACAGGGTATGATAGATTGGGATACCTATATGGATTGGCAGTTTGGGGGCACCTACAGGGTATGGCAGTTTGGGGCTCCTACAGGGTATGATAGATTGGGATACCTATATGGATTGGCAGTTTGGGGCACCTACAGGGTATGGCAGTTTGGGGCACCTACAGGGTATGATAGATTGGGATACCTATATGGATTGGCAGTTTGGGGCACCTACAGGGTATGGCAGTTTGGGGCTCCTACAGGGTATGATAGATTGGGATACCTATATGGATTGGCAGTTTGAGGCACCTACAGGGTATGGCAGTTTGGGGCTCCTACAGGGTATGATAGATTGGGATACCTATATGGATTGGCAGTTTGAGGCACCTACAGGGCATGGCAGTTTGGGGCACCTACAGGGTATGATAGATTGGGATACCTATATGGATTGGCAGTTTGAGGCACCTACAGGGCATGGCAGTTTGGGGCACCTACAGGGTATGATAGATTGGGATACCTATATGGATTGGCAGTTTGAGGCACCTACAGGGCATGGCAGTTTGGGGCACCTACAGGGTATGATAGATTGGGATACCTATATGGATTGGCAGTTTGAGGCACCTACAGGGCATGGCAGTTTGGGGCACCTACATGTTATGGTAGTTTGGGCACCTACATGGATTGGCAGTTAGAGGCACCAACAGGGTATGGCAGTTTGGGCCTCTAATGGGGTATGGTAGTTTGGGGCACCTACAGGGTATGGCAGTTTGGGGCACCTGCAGGGTATGGTAGTTTGGGGCACCTACAGGGTATGGCAGTTTGGTCCTCTTATGGGGTATGGCAGTTTGGGGCTCCTGCGGGGTAAGGTAGTTTGGGGCACCTACAGGGCATGGCAGTTTGGGACGCCTACAGGGTATGTTAGTTAGAGTCACCTACAGGGCATGACACTTTGGGGTTCCCACAGGGCATGGCAGTTTGGGGCTCCTACTGAGTATGGTAGTTTTGGGTACCTATGTGGGATGGCAGTTTAGGGCACCTACAGGGCATGGCAGTTTAGGGCACCTACATGTTATGGTAGTTTGGGGCACCTACATGGATTGGCAGTTAGTTGCACCCACAGGGCATGGCAGTTTGGGGCTCTTTTGAGGTATGGTAGTTTGGGGCACGTACATGGAATGGTTTTTTGGGGCACCTACATGGATTGGCAGTTTGGGACACCAACAGGGCATGGCAGTTTGGAGCTCCTACAGGGTATGGTAGATTGGGGTACCTATATGGCAAGGCAGTTTGAGGCACCTACAGGGCATGGCAGTTTGGGGCACCTACATGTTATGGTAGTTTGGGGCACCTACATGGATTGGCACTTTTGGGGCACCTAGAGGGTATGTCAGTTAGAGGCACCTACAGGGCATGGCAGTTTGGGGCTCCTACGGGGCATGGCACTTTTGGGGCACCTAGAGGGTATGTCAGTTAGAGGCACCTACAGGGCATGGCAGTTTGGGGCTCCTTCGGGGTATGGTAGTTTAAGGGGACCTACAGGGCATGGCAGTTAGGGGCACCTTCAGGGCATGGCAGTATATAGTTGATATTATTACATGTTTATAAGTGATCTAACCCTAACCCTGGACAGACTGAACAACTGTTTTTGTACTGTTACGTCCAGTCATTATACAGCCCCGATGCATCAATTTTTGGCTCTTTTAGTCTATTTGCTTTCTTAACATGAAGTGGGAGGGGGACATAGGTTTGAGCTCCGTTCATCTGTCCGTCCTTCCGTTTGAAATGATGGGGACAGATTTTCTCAGAATACGGTTATGGATAGGGAAACCAAATATTGTATGTGTTTTCAGGACACAAATGCCTTGGTGGAGTTCGAAAACAAAAACCGTGTTACATTCTTACAATTTGTTACAGAGTTATGGCCCTGGTCAGGTGTTTCTTGACTTGGTGCACCGTATCCTCAATGGGGACAGATTTTCTCAAAACCGTTAATGTGGCATGTATTTTCAGTACACAAATGCCTTGATAGAGTTCGAAAACGGAGTTATGGCCCTTGTCATGCGTATCTTGACTTAGTGCACGGTATCCCCTGGATATTCTCCAGTCGACACATACACCCTTCAACTCACCAGGTAGCTGCCAGGTAAAATTAGCCTTTATAGGCACTGTTATCTTCTCTTTGCTGACATAACAGTAATCCTTTCAGTAGTCATGTAACAGCTTATGTATAGCTACTTGTAGGAAGAATGGATAGTGATCAAAATAGGAACAGAACACTGTGTTGCGGGGATATTGGTGACCATGTCTTCAAGTTGTTCTTAATGCGCACAAACAGGTGTCTTTAGCGCCGTCATGTATGTGTCACAGGATGAGAATGAAAATGATCATTTATTATTGATTTGTATTGTGAATACTGGTTATATTGAGAAGAGTCTTCAGTGATTGCTGTGACAGGAGTTCTCCTTGAACTTTTCAGGAAGTTCCACCTGCTGGGAGAAGACGGGAGTCACCAGAGAATAGCTGTTCCTGTTGGGGTGGTGGTGAAAAGTGAAGATGGGACGACCATAGGTATGACAGTCAGTGTAAATGTCTGGGTGTTAGGGAAGATGGGACGACTATAGGTATGACAATCAGTGTAAATGTCTGGGTGTTAGGGAAGATGGGACGACTATAGGTATGACAGTCAGTGTAATTGTCTGGGTGTTAGGGAAGATTGGACGACTATAGGTATAACAATCAGTGTAAATGTCTGGGTGTTGGGGAAGATTGGACGACTATAGGTATGACAATCAGTGTAAATGTCTGGGTGTTGGGGAAGATGGGACGACTATAGGTATGACAATCAGTGTAAATGTCTGGGTGTTGGGGAAGATTGGACGACCATAGGAATGGCAATCAGTGTAAATGTCTGGGTGTTGGGGAAGATTGGACGACCATAGGAATGGCAATCAGTGTAAATGTCTGGGTGTTGGGGAAGATTGGACGACTATAGGTATGACAATCAGTGTAAATGTCTGGGTGTTGGGGAAGATTGGACGACTATAGGTATGACAATCAGTGTAAATGTCGGGTGTTGGGGAAGATTGGACGACCATAGGAATGGCTATCAGTGTAATTATCTGGGTGTTGGGGAAGACGGGACGACCATAGGAATGGCAATCAGTGTAATTGTCGGGGTGTTGGGGACACTTGGTTGACATGTCTCTGACAAGTGTCCAGGACAAGTAGTATTACACTTGGTTGACATGTCTCTGACAAGCATCCTGGACAAGTAGTGTTACACTTGGTTGACATGTCTATGACAAGTGTCCAGGACAAGTAGTGTTACACTTGGTTGACATGTCTCTGACAAGTGTCCAGGACAAGTAGTGTTACACTTGGTTGACGTGTCTCTGACAAGTGTCCAGGACAAGTAGTGTTCCACTTGGTTGACATGTCTCTGACAAGTGTCCAGGACAAGTAGTGTTCCACTTGGTTGACATGTCTCTGACAAGTGTCCATGACATATAGTGTTACACTTGGTTGACATGTCTCGGACAAGTGTCCATGACATATAGTGTTACACTTGGTTGACATGTCTCGGACAAGTGTCCATGACATATAGTGTTCCACTTGGTTGACATGTCTCTGACAAGTGTCCATGACATATAGTGTTACACTTGGTTGACATGTCTCGGACAAGTGTCCATGACATACAGTGTTACACTTGGTTGATGTGTCCCTGACAAGTGTCCATGACATATAGTGTTACACTTGGTTGACATGTCTCGGACAAGTGTCCAGGAGATATAGTGTTACACTTTAGTGTAGTGGCAGCATAAATCAGGAATGTTGAGATATGTTTCTGGTGGCGAACTGATGGGTTGGTCTTCTGACTGAACCATGACGAGCCATGTTTGTTCACGCCTGTATTTTGTTTCAAGGTGAGGTGAATGAGCCTGGCCAGGTGGTTGTGGCTGCACATGGAGGTAGAGGAGGTAACTCTCGTAACAGATTCCTTGGTGAGAAGGGTGAAGGACATACTGTGGTGCTGGATCTGAAGCTGATAGCGGATGTTGGTTTGGTTGGGTGAGTTTTCTGGACTTGAAGGTGATACCGGACATGGGGCTGGTTGGGTGAGTGTTCTGGATCTGAAGGTGATAGCGGACGTCGGTCTGGTGGGTTGAGTGTTCTGGATCTGAAGCTGATAGCGGATGTTGGTTTGGTTGGGTGAGTTTTCTGGACCTGAAGGTGATAGCGGACATGGGGCTGGTTGGGTGAGTGTTCTGGATCTGAAGGTGATAGCGGAAGTCGGTCTGGTGGGTTGATTGTTCTGGATCTGAAGGTGATAGCGGACGTTGGTCTTGTGGGGTGAGTGTTCTGCATCTGAAGGTGATAGCAGACGTCGGTCTGGTTGGGTGAGTGTTCTGGATCTGAAGGTGATAGCAGACGTCGGTCTGGTGGGGTGAGTGTTCTGGATCTGAAGGTGATAGTGGACGTCGGTCTGGTGGGGTGAGTGTTCTGGATCTGAAGGTGATAGTGGACGTCGGTCTGGTGGGGTGAGTGTTCTGGATCTGAAGGTGATAGTGGACGTCGGTCGGTGGGGTGAGTGTTCTGGATCTGAAGGTGATAGTGGACGTCAGTCTGGTTGGGTGAGTGTGTTCTGGATCTGAAGGTGATAGTGGACGTCAGTCTGGTGGGGTGAGTGTTCTGGATCTGAAGGTGATAGTGGACGTCGGTCTGGTCGGGTGAGGTGTTCTGGATCTGAAGGTGATAGCGGACGTCAGTCTGGTTGGGTGAGTGTTCTGGATCTGAAGCTGATAGCAGACGTCAGTCTGGTCGGGTGAGTGTTCTGGATCTGAAGCTGATAGCAGACGTCGGTCTGGTCGGGTGAGTGTTCTGGATCTGAAGCTGATAGCAGACGTTGGTCTGGTCGGGTGAATGTTCTGGATCTGAAGCTGATAGCAGACGTCGGTCTGGTCGGGTGAGTGTTCTGGATCTGAAGCTGATAGCGGACGTCGGTCTGGTCGGGTGAGTGTTCTGGATCTGAAGCTGATAGCAGACATAGGGCTGGTTGGGTGAGTGTTCTGCATCTGAAGGTGATAGAGGAAATTTGGCTGATTGGGTGAATGATCTGGATCTGGTAAATGGAAAAGAAGAAATTGTTTGGATTGAAAACAAGAAATGGTTTAGATTTTAGAAATGGCAACCCCAATAAAGACTCCTCTCTCTTTTTTTTTTACAACAGTAACAGATGGTATGGTTTTGATGATTTCCATCTCACGTTACTGATTCACGAGTCCATCATGATATTGTATACACTGTTTCGTCATGATGTTGTATACGCTGTTCGATCTTGATATTGTATACTCTGTTCTATAATGAGAAAGTATACACTGTTCTATCATGATGTAGTATACACTGTTCCATCATGATGTTGTATACACTGTTCCATCATGATGTTGTATACACTGTTCCATCATGATGTTGTATACACTGTTCTATCATGATGTAGTATACACTGTTCCATCATGATGTTGTATACACTGTTCCATCATGATGTTGTATACACTGTTCCATCATGATGTTGTATACACTGTTCCATCATGATGTTGTATACACTGTTCTATCATGATGTAGTATACACTGTTCCATCATGATGGTGTATACACTGTTCCATCATGATCTTGTATACACTGTTCCATCATGATGGTGTATACACTGTTCCATCATGATGTTGTATACACTGTTCCATCATGATCTTGTATACACTATTCCATCATGATGGTGTATACACTGTTCCATCATGATGGTGTATACACTGTTCCATCATGATCTTGTATACACTGTTCCATCATGATGGTGTATACACTGTTCCATCATGACAAAGTATACATATACAAATGACAAAGCATACAAATGTATTTTTCTTGATAGTAATATATAACTTATCATATCTCACGTCTTGTACTCTCTCTCTTTAATTCGACCAGCTGAGTGGAAACAAACTGCAAACAAAATCCTAGGCCTCTCTTGTCCATTCGCCCATGCACTGCATGCTGTTCCCCTTATTGGACAGCCTCAGTATCGCCTGAGAAGCATGCAGTCCACTCGACTACCTGCTCACGTGACCACCCCTCCATCATCATTCTCTTTCTTGCCGCACAGCTGTGCAGATGCACTGTGAGCTAAGGAATATTTTTCACACTCATTTTTTGGCTTGCGACCCTCATTCATCCTGTAATGATTGTGTAGGCTTGTGCTCTTGGGAGAAAAGATGTGCACAATGCACGCCTTTAGACGATGATACATTCACAGCCTATAGAGAATCGCTCAAGTAGTCTGAAGAACACGGACCTTCGCCCGCTAAGATGTCAAGAAACAGTCTCCTACGAAGACTGCTTGCCATTTGGTCACGCCTATTTCAGATCAGGAGGAGTTACCTTTCGGAGAATCTATGCCACCTGTTCCGTCCATCTGATGCACCTTCACCTCAATGGAGCCTCGGACCCAGCTTAACAACTCTGCGGGTTCGCTGAATGACGTCAGTTCAGCAAACCACCCTCTTCGCCTCATGCTACTCCTGGCATTGTTCTCATCAGTGGATCGGCAGCATTCGAATAACTGTCCCCTTTCGGCGTATTGATCTCTTTTGGCAAATTTACCAGCTTTGTGGAAACATCCCAGTGCTACAGTCAGTTGCCCTGTTTCAGGTCTATCTTTGTTGACTGTCATTAGACCTTTAGTTACTTCTTACCCTTCTGATTCGGCGCTCCCTCGTACTTCGTCGGATCTTGTGGACCTTCAAGGGCCTATGGTTAGGCACTTTATTCTTCCTGAATCTTGGGACCCGTCACCGGATACTTCGTCAAGACCTGTTTGTGATTTTCACTTGATGGCTAGAGCCATCTGTGCAGCTTGGACCCAGATGCAGCAGACACCTTCTCATTCTACGTCTCAGCCTACTGATTGGTCAGATGCTCGACCCCATGTGCCTCTTCATCCCATCCTGTGACTTCAGCACCTGTTTGATGCATTGACACCTCCTCACCTGCATATTCAGACAAACTCTCTACCTCGGAGGGCAGCTTTGACATGGTGGATGTTTCCCATATCACAGCATGGATTGTTGAGAAGTTGTGACTACCCAGGAGCAGGTTTGTGGATGATCTCCCGTCCTCTTACGCCATTTCGGAATCAGGATCTGTCTACCTTCCCTCCTCAGACCTGTACTGTGCAGATGACCTCTTCCCTGGATGACGCATTTAAGAACCTGAAGCGCGTCAGAGATGGTTTTTCTGCTTCTAGGTTCTCTGTTACGCACATGCATGGGTCTGCGCTGACTTTGAATGAGGATATTTTCACCCTGTGCCCCAAGTAGAAGCACGCCCTTTTTTGGGTAGAAGTCTGGGAAGTGGCGCATCTGGATACTGCTGTTCATCGCACTCTAAGGGCTATCAACTGTATCTTGTCTGAGGTGGATGCAGCTGTAGAACATACCGGCGATACCGTTTCTGATGATGAGACCTATATTCTGGGATCCATGTGCCTGATTTTAGAACAGTTTCAGACTGTCCTGGACCAGCTGTCTCACTTCTTTGATTACATATTAGCAGGTAAATGCAGAGGCCAACGCAATCATGCTTTGTGGGATCACCGTTACCCACACAATCCTTTGTGGGATCACCGTTACCATGTGGATCACCGTTACCATGTGGAACTTATTGATTTTGCAGAAGACACAGCTTCAGTAGACACTCAAGCAATGTCGCATGGCTCAGTTTTCGCAGGATATTTTTTGTGCCAACACTAATCGATGGTGTCCATGGGGGCGGTCTTGGTCCAGATTAAGGTCAAGATATCTTAATTTACTGGGGCTTTCTGTACATCGCAGTGAGGCGAGGTTTACTTGCCGAGCTCTGTCTTTTTGTCTTTGCACAAAGGTTGCGGTGGAAAACCACATTACATCACATTGGGAGTTTTGTGCTTAGTATGCCAAGGGGGCGGTGGAGTAAGCTAGTAGTTAAAGCGTTAGCTTGTCACGCCGAAGACCCGGGCTCGATTCCCCACATGGGTACAATGTGTGAAGCCCATTTCTGGTGTCCCCTGCCGTGATATTGCTGGAATATTGCTAAAAGCGGCGTAAAACTAAACTCACTAGTATGCCAAGGGGTTCCAGAGGACCCAACACAAGCATAGGAGTTATGTAATCTTTGGATTCGTAACAGGCCTCACTTGTGCATCGCTATCTATGGTTGTCTACAGTTACTTGGCACCAGCTGTTTGCACTGTCTAGACTCCGTCCAACCGTGGGAGACATACAAGATGTGGGTTTTAAAAATTAGGAAATTTTAACTATTAATTGTATATTTATATACTAATCCTATCTCACGTGATGGATGCCCGCCCGACCTACCCACTACTCAGATTACGGCTTTGCTGCAAGAGAATTATCAGAGAGGGGTGGTCACGTGAGCAGGTAGTGGAGTGGGCTGTATGCTTCTCCGGCGTGCAGAGGCTGTCCAATAAGGGGAACAGCATGGAGTGCACGCACGAATTGACAAGAGAGGCCTAGGATTTTGTTTGCAGTTTGTTTCCACTCAGCTGGTCGAATTAAAGAGAGAGAGTACAAGACGTAAGATAGTATAAGTATATAAATATACAATTTATAGTTAATATTTCCCAATATTGTAATGAAAAAGGAACTAAAAAAAATCATGACAACTTTATTTGTGTTAATTTTTTTCTGTTCACAATTATTTTATTTCCACACTCCTGAATATTATTTTCTGTTGTAGTTTTCCAAATGCAGGAAAGTCCACTTTTCTTGCGTCTGTATCGAGAGCAAAGCCCAAGATTGCTGACTACCCTTGTAAGTATCTAGTCGCATGATGACTGACTGATTGTATTTGTGCTTTTACTTGTTTGTTTTGAATCAGGACTTTCATGTATACTCTCATTTAGACATCGAGCCAATTCAAAAGTGTCTTAGAGTCTTAAATGTGTTTTCTCTGTCTAATTCATCTGTGCACAACCGATGACATTGCTTACTAGACACCTTCTTTTCATTTACTCTTTATTGGTCATCTTAAGGAGGCGGTGGGCTGTCCAAGTGGTTCAAGTTTTAGCCCATCACCTTAGGTTTGAAGTGACATAGTCAGAATACATAGGTTTGAAGTGACATAGTCAGAATTTTCTGTTCTTATGCTATAAGGATGACTTTCATTTGTAAAACAGTGTACATGTATGTGTCTATATCTTATTTCCAGTTACCACAATCAGACCTCAGATTGGAACAATGACATATGCCGATGGGAGACGCGTGAGTCCATTACCAGTCCTCTCACCCAGCCCAGCTGTATATGGTTTGGGAAAGTTGTAAAGTTGTCTTGGTAGCAAAATTATTCAGACATTGCACATTGCACAGGATTTTGGTGATTATAATATATTTTTCCCTGATTTTAGTGTGTCCATGTTATGAAGTTTTGAGGGAGCAGCTTATACCCTGTTTCTATCACACATTCCTCTCTAAGAATAAGTGATACCAGCTCTTGTCATCACACAATGTGAAACATGTTAAATAAATACCTTGCTATATTCCTCAAGAGAAACCTACCTACTTAATTATGTATGCACAACCATTATTCTGTATGTGCATGTGCTCTTGGCCGTGGGGCCTCTACACAGAATAACCTTGTCACTTGACAGTAAAACAAGACTTTAAAGCCTCTTCTTCTATCTTTGTCATGTTATCAGACAGACAGACAGCAGTTTGTCAGGTCATGTGACCCATAGAACAGTTCAGTTAGTACTTACTACATAATGTGTCCTTTTAATTCCAGCTGTACTTTGTTAAACACTTGTTCACAGATTGGTGTTAGTCTGGACACATACAGCCCAGATGGGTGTTAGTCTGGACACATACCAGCCCAGATGGGTGTTAGTCTGGATACATACCAGCCCAGATGGGTGTTAGTCTGGACACATACCAGCCCAGATGGGTGTTAGTCTGGACACATACCAGCCCAGATGGGTGTTAGTCTGGACACATACCCGCCCAGATGGGTGTTAGTCTGGACACATACCAGCCCAGATGGGTGTTAGTCTGGACACATACCAGCCCAGATGGGTGTTAGTTTGGACACATACCAGCCCAGATGGGTGTTAGTCTGGACACATACCAGCCCAGATGGGTGTTAGTCTGGACACATACCAGCCCAGATGGGTGTTAGTCTGGACACTGCCAGCCCAGATGGGTGTTCGTCTGGACACATACCAGCCCAGATGGGTGTTAGTCTGGACACATACCAGCCCAGATGGGTGTTAGCCTGGACACATACCAGCCCAGATGGGTGTTAGTCTGGACACATACCTGCCCAGATGGGTGTTAGTCTGGACACATACCCGCCCAGATGGGTGTTAGACTGGACACATACCCGCCCAGATGGGTGTAAGTCTGGACACATACCCACCCAGATGGGTGTTAGTCTGGACACATACCCGCCCAGATGGGTGTTAGTCTGGACACATACCTGCCCAGATGGGTGTTAGTCTGGACACATACCTGCCCAGATGGGTGTTAGTCTGGACACATACCTGCCAGGTGGGTGTTAGTCTGGACACATACCAGCCTAACTGATGATACTTATAATGTTGTTTCACAGATAAGGCTTTGGTCGGACCCTTAGCTCTTGCTACCATTACCCCTACTATGAAAAAGTTTGGGACGATAGCGGGATGCGAACTGCACATGTCCGCGCCACTGAGCTACCGGGGGCATGGCTGGAGTGTGTTGGTATCCTGGGATTACACCATCCAATACTGGGCTGCGTCTAACGTGCCGCTATGACACTATTGTGCCGCTATACCATGTTTACCTCGATGAAACAGTTTAATGTGAATCGCCTATGATCTCTTTGGTGTTTGTAATAAAGGCTTGTTGGGCTTTTTTCACCCCTTGTTCTATGTACTTTTTTTTCTCGTCCTCACTGATAGCAGACTTACGAGACTTGGATCGAATCTCTTGTTTCATTTTGTTATATTTTGTGATTTCAGAGAGGATTGAACTAAACTCCTCCTCTGAGATCTTACTGTCAGTGAGTGCAGTGGAAATACGCTCACTTACTGTGTTCAGCTTTGCTTCGGCCAGAACCCTGATCTCATCGTGTTTCAATGCCTTACGATGCAGTCTGCGGGATGCAAACTTAAGCGCCAACCCTAACACCCCTGCCACCCCAGCTGTTATTTCAATGCCTAGCACTACGGGGGTAGCCACGATGGTAGCTAACAACCCAACACCTGCCGCTCCCAGCCCCATGCTGGTTGCCATAAGGGCAGTATCAGCCCCATCCACGATATTGAAAGCTCTATGGTACTTCTTACATAGTGCTTTACGCGTGTCAGCGGTCTTGCTCTAGTTGGTGTTTTACATCGCGCATAACTGTCTCAAACGGAACCCGCTCACGGTTTCCAGGGTCTTCGCTACTTCCTCTCACGACTGGGTATAGCCCCATCCTATAATATATATTACAAAAGATATTTTAATTGGGTTTCATTTAACAATCGATCAACGTGCCACTTGAGGCTTATAAGGTATAAATCCTCATGTAGGAAAATAGGTGAGAATTTAATAGGTAACTCTGCAGCCACAATAGCCCCTCGTCGGGGTTATTGAGTGGGTTATAGAACCCGTTGAGGGGTCCAGTTGTATGATGATACGGTAACGTTTACTACGGGTCTGGGGAAACCAGAGTACTCTGACCCCAGGTAAAAGTTGTTGTAATTCCTTATTACTATTAACTCTTTCGATATGGACGTCTATGATAAGTGTGGAGCCTGGTACCATAGATGGAATCCCTATGTGCCCATAGCAGTCATACCTTAACTTCGCCCGTGGAATGCCAGTAACATATTGGGTAAACTTCGGCCTTAGTATCATCCTTGTATTAGGTCCCGGAACGAAGCACGCGGGCAAGATACCGCTGTTCTTAATTTCAGAGATATGACTTTGTTCCTTTAATGAGATATAAGGTGAGGTGAGGGTTAAGTTGACTAACCATTCAGGCTCTTTAAAATCTGATAACGACACCCGCCTATACACGTTGTCTTTGAAGTGCAGGATGTATAAGGTGTCTTCCTCACCAGGCTGATCGAATCCCTCCGTGTCCCCTAGGTCGTTTAAAGCGTAGTGTTGGGGCGATGACTGGTCATTGCTATAATACTACTACGATATAGTTTCCAACTGGTTTTCTGATAATAGTTCAGGGGTGAACTTCACCCCCATGAAGTGTATGTTGTCAGGTAGGAAGATCTTGGTTAGTGATATCATGTTTTCCACGATCACAGTGACACCCTGCAGACTGGTGTTGGAGCCGACACCCATCCGCACGTAAACTGTGCAAACGTGATACTGGTGTCGTTTCACCCACCCGAGTTTGACCCCCTTCACGATCTCGACATTATTCCCCGATGGTTCCCTAGGTAGACTTTGATGATCAGTGTTGAGTTAAGCGGTAGACTCTCCAGTATCCTGACCACATCTTGAATTCAGACACCAACTGCAATGTCACGTTTTGTATTCCCGGTTTACTCGATAGCATATGGGCTGCCATACTGGCGACTGGGCTGATGGCTACGCTACGTCTCTGAGTCGGGACGTAAGCCACGATCAGGGTTCCGTTGTTAACGACTTTGTTTAGGTGGTTGTCTTTGTTATCCGTGAACACGTAGGGGGAGCCGAGCATAATATTGAGAAACCAGTTGTCTTTATCGGGTAACAACACCCACTTGTCATCTTCGGTGAAGACGAAGCAGTATATGGCTTGTTTCGGGCGACGGTAGTGCTCTCAACATCGGTTAAGTCGAACAGCTTACCCCTAACGATGGGTATATTATCCATTTATCATCCCGGTGGTGACTAGGGTGTACCGAGTGTTGACTGTCGCTCTTGTGGTATCTACTATATCACCTAGGGTTCCACCGGAGGGGACTTCAACGCGTTTGTAAATGTTGTTTTCAGTTGCAAAGGCGTGCAATTTACCATCTACTCCGGGGCGTCGAATCCGCGTGTGTCCCGAGGTCGGGAGATCCCCACATTGGCGCATTTTTCACCCCGGCCCTTGTGCTGGTCATTTTATGTGAAGCGTAAGCTGAGGTATCCTATATTCACGGGATTATGATTTATATCTAACACCGATATTATCAGCTCAGGTATGTTGCCCTGGGTTAACCTCTTATACTGCCGTGGTGAAAACGACTCCGTTCTACCGTCGTTGTATTTCTCCGTTTTCACCGGTACGGCTCTCAGTATAGTGGAAGGGTGACCCCCTTGAATGTTGTGCGTTGTGCTCACCTGACCGAGATGAATGTACAGCTCTCGGTGCGGTACTAGGTCGGGTAACCGTTGCCTGTGACGGTTGTTGTTGGTTTTATCTCGTCAAGGCGTCATACCGGTGTCCTCGCCAATGGTCGACCGAGTCTCAAGGAGTTTCTTCCGTTGTTGATTAACACCACTGTACCGTTTGAGTCGTTCATCTTGAGTTCGGCTCCCAGGGGTTTGAAGACCTCGTCGCTTAGCGAGCACACGCTGTAGTAACCGTCAGTTATCTGGCTGCGAGCTCCACTAACAAACAGCTTATTGTTGCTGGCGTTGATGTTAGTCCATTGCGGTAGGTAGGTGATATCGCGAGAGTGCGACCGAGTTGACCCGGCGTATTATCGATCGCGTGCATCAGCTGAACGGCCTCGCCGCTCGTTATTCCTGGAAGTGTTATGTACATGTTAGAGTATATATGCTCATTATATAATAGTTTTAAAATGTATTCCCCTGGAGTGTTTTACCCTAAACTGGGCGTAGATTTCTCACCCATGAAGATCGCGATTAAGCTGATGGGATGTATTTCAACGCCCAGCTTTTAGATGTGTTCAGCCTGTATAAATTTTCGTGACTAACGCTAAGGTAGTTCATGCTTGGTTCAACAACCCGATGCAGTTCTGGCAGAATCAACTCAACTTCCCGTGTGGTGCTTCTAGCGGGTGTGTGGTGTGACATTAACCGACACTCGGCGTGGACGCTGAGTCAGTCTGTGTTCACGTTCCACGGTACTACCAGGTCAGGCGATCCTTAAAGAAATCAGTGCCCCGCTCCCACAGGACAAGGCGTGGAGCGCAGTAAACAACCAATGCGATAGGCGGGCCTACTGAGCGATATTTACCTTGGTCGAACTGAACCGAAGACGGATTGGCGTTTGCGGGACCGAACCACGGGTTGGGTATCCCCATCGTTCACAACATGCACCTCGTGGATGCCAGCGAGAAGTTGAA